AAGACGTGGCACCAAGACTATAAACTGAGAACTAAGTCAAAATTTTGATTTAAATCTGTTCTCAGTTTATGGTCTTGGGGCCTGATAGGTGAATGCAGGTTTACTGTTCAAGCTTAATGCTTTGTTCCAAGATGTATAGTCTACTTGTTTTGTTGGTGTTTTACAATTTCAACATTCCTCTATTCATGACAGGGAATTAATCATGTCTGTAGGCTGCAGTACTCGGAGTTCTGTAGATGTGTCGTTCTACGTGTACTTCAGGCTGTAGGTAGGTCTACACACTTCATCAGGTTATGAATATTTATAGTCCATCAAAGCTGCACATCATTTCATTTATCTCAGTTTTATAACATCAAAAAATATAAATGTATGGACCAAAAGCCATTGAATGTAATATTTATGATGGGGGTTACTTGTACTTGAAAAAATTCAGATTCACCAAGTAGCAGTGTTGCCCCAGAAACAGGAGGGATTCTTGAGAAAGTCTGGGGATGGATCAAAGAATTGGAGACCCTTCACAGTTACTACAGCAGTGTTACAAGTCTGTCAGACACGCTACCTCAAAAATCAGACCTCAGTCAAATGAATGACCTTGACATAGCAGTGCACAGCCTTGACCTTCATTTACAGTCAGCCTTACTGACGTATTTTTGTATGCATGTCAGGTATTTATACACTGGTGTGATTACATGTATGTTTTTTCTGGTTCAATATTGCTTAATCCCCCCCCCCCCAAGTAAATGAAATAAAATAATGATGAGAAACTACATCAATCTCCAGAAACTCTGTTGACAAAATTTAAAGCAAATTAAATTATTTTGTAATTTTTTTTTGTTTGACACCTCAGGGTCAGGAAACTGTCAGTCCTTTTAAAGCATTCAGCCAATCAGAATACAGAGATTAAACAAGACAACCAATCACAGGAGGTCGTCTGGGATCAAATCAAACAGGAACTACTGGCTTGCAAAGGATGCTGGGAAGAAGGATTGGAACGACTCAACAAGTTGTACAAAAACCAGCCACGCCAGGGTATGTACTGTACAAAAGATGTCAGAGGTTCTTGTACATGATTTTCCCTTTCAAATTAATACTTTGTGCATACATAAGATTGTCTCTTTATACATTGTTTTGTTGACTAGCAGAAAAGACAGAAGAGGTTCCCCCTCAGACAGAGAATACTGAGACCCCCAACCCTGTCCCCCCAGAGGACCTGTTTAACACCAGTCCCCCAATCATAGAGGACGAGGTAAAAATGACAGGGAGAAAAGGGCAGTATTTTTAGCTCAGGAAAAAGCGGTACTTTATGAAAATTGTGTGACTCTCCATTTCAACTGAATTGCTTCAAAGTTCATAGATCACACATTTATATTAGGGAGTACAGATAGCTGCAGAACTGTAGTGTAAGTTATGGTTTTATATTAGTCTTTGACTATAATGCCACAGGTCATGTAATGCAAATTAAGTGCAATTTATGGCCTAAGATTTTCTCCATACCTTTGCAGAGAATTTGTCCACTTCCCAGCTTTGGTCAATAAAGTAATTTTCACTTCTCAATTCTAGACATATTTTTAGCTCACCTGAGCTGAAAGCTCAAGTGAGCTTTTCTGATCACATTTTGTCCATCGTCCGTCGTGTCTGTCTAGTCCGTCTGTCCATCTGTAAACTTTTCACATTTTCACAACAAAGCCATGATTGATCATATTTATATTGAAGCATTGTCAGGTAGTGTAGATTCAAGTTTGTTCAAATCATGACCCCCAGGGGTAGGGCAGGGCCACAATGGCCGACCAAAGTTTTACATAGAAATATATAGGAAAATTCTTTAAAGATCTTCTCAAGAATAACAAAGCCATAATTGATCATATTTATATGGAAGCATCCTCAGGTAATATAGATTCAAGTTTGTTCAAATCATGACCCCCAGGGGTAGGGCAGGGCCACAATGGCTGACCAAAGTTTTACATAGAAATATATTTATAGGAAAATTCTTTAAAAATCTTCTTCTCAAGAATAACAAAGCCATGATTGATCATATTTATATGGAAGCATCCTCAGGTAGTGTAGATTCAAGTTTATTCAAATCATGACCCCCGGGGGTAGGGCGGGGCCACAATGGCCAATCAAAGTTTTACATAGACATATATAGGAAAATTCTTTAAAAATCATCTTCTCAAGAATAGCAAAGCCCTTGCTCATAGGACTACTTTTGGATTTAAACTTTTCTATAATGAACCAGATTCTACTTTTTCCTAGCCACAGTGCTCAGATGAGCGATGTGACCCATGGGCCTCTTGTTCTTAATGTCTTTCATATAAAACGGTCAAATTTAATTTCACTGATACTATCTTACTGATATTGTCTTCTTGATTCTGTGAAAATTTCATTAATTTTTAAATATTAGAAATATGAGAAGAATCCTACCTTAAGTGCAACTGTATAACACTATCTCTTTTCATTTCACAAAATGATTTTTACAAAAGCATTTGATGTTCGACTGTTTTTGAAAATGAAAATTTATATATCATCCATGATTTAGGTGTTTGAAGCCTACATTGATGAGGAAACGGAAAATGACCCAGATTACAGCTGGGACGAGTATCTCACACCAGAAGAAAAGGTAGATACATATACCAATATGACTGTGAAATTTATTTAAGTTTATTAACTCGCAGGTTGAAATGATGAATACTGTATACAAGGAAATTTACCCCCCTGTTTTATTTTCGCCCCTTTTGCCCTTTCCCTGATTGGGCGAATTTAAAACGGGGCAATTCAAATTACACTTCATAATTTCTTAAACAGAACTATGACTGGGCGAATTCAAAATGGGGCAAAATTGTTCACAAGTTCAAAAGGGCGAAAATAACACGGGGCGAAAATAACCCTGTTTTCAGTACCCTGTGCACATGTACTGGTTGCTGTGTAAAAACTCATTTAGCATCGTGTCATTGTAGGAATGAAATGGTATAAGATGATTATGTTTCAATGAATCGCATCAAGATAATTTTAAAAGAATTAAATATTTTAATCATCCTGGATATTTCAGGAAAAGAAGAGGCGAGAGAAACAGGAAGCCCTGCGATTACTGACGGAGCTGAAGTCGGTGATTTCTGTGAGGGCACTGGAGATGGGAAGGAGAGAGAAGATAGCCCAGGAGAGGAAGTACGGCCATGCTACCTTGGAGAAAGAGAGTGTAGAGAGGCAAGGTTTGACCACAGAGGACCAAGAAGTGGGTCAGAAATTATTACAGAGGAGAAATTCTGACAATGATGATCTTCTTGAAAATACAAACTTGGATTTATCCAGTGTTTCTGGGAATGAAGGTGTTCCTCTGCATGGAGAGCTTTGTCATGAAGAAGATCTGAGTTGTGATGAGTGTAAATTAGCTGTGGAACAGTTAAAAAGTGTGGAGTGTGAAAGTGATCCAGACAGTAGACTTAACACAGACACTGACATTGATCATCAATGTAAAGACAGGATATTTACCACAGGTTCAGAGGAATCAGTCGATTGTTCTTTAGGAAGTTTTCGGGACTCTGTGCCAAGGATAGGAGTTTTACCTACACAGAGTCCAGGATTTCAGTTTTCTTCCAGTCTGGCTGCCATGGCGGTCGCTAGGTCACGTGACTTTGGGCTGACGGAGGACACGTTTGGTGACAGTGAGTCAGAGACAGAGAACCAGGTGAATGAGGACTAGTCCAAACACGTTACATTTACCTGAATCAGACTTGTATGGTCTGATGACTCCCTGTTTTATTGTTTTAGTACAATTACAGTGAAACTTGTCTAATACAAATTTTGAAAATTCTGTAATCTTGCCTTAACTTGCCATTACACAGGAAAATTACTCTGAAATTTTGTTCAATATTCTTTCAATGCAAATAATTCAGAAATATTTATGTTAAAATACCCTCTTGAAAATGTCCCCAGAAATTTTGCTATAAGAACACTTCGTATACATGTACATCTAAACCTTTTCAAAAATTTTGAGCTGTAAAGTTGCATTTCTTTCGGTTTGGCCAAACAGTAAGCAGCATAATAACTAACTAAATATCACTTCTAAAATGATAGAGGTAATATATAGTTAAGAAAAGATTTTTGAATTTAGTAAGAAAAAAGTTTGCGTTAATATGTATCCTTAAGATTTATAAACCCTCTGCTGATGCCCATTCAATGCTTCTTTATAAACTTAGGATTTTCAATAGTAAATGTATATGCTAAATAAAATAAAAACAATTATAGCATGGCTTGCGGGGCAAATTTTCACAAAATACTGAAATTAGGCACTTCAACTTGGCAAATTTACAAACTTTAAGGAATAGTTAACGTTGTTGTAATTAAGAGTAATCTCTCTTTAGTTATCAGAGTATCCATGTACCTCAGACCAGACTATTATTTAATCAAGGTCAGCTGGCCAATTTCTTTGAACTGGTGGTGTCCAGATAAGGCAAGTTAGAAGAATGTAGAATGTACATTTGGTTGTATAAAATCTTTACTAGTCTTTTTTGGGAATGTGCAATAATTGTTGATATATACATTTGTAATCTCATTCTCTTTCAACTTTTTGTTTTTATTTGACATGTAGTACACATATATGATAAAATTATCCACTGCATATTGAACTGTGGTTTTATTGTTTTGTGAAGTATGTAAATCAATAACAGGCATTTTTGTCACAAAAAATATAAACCCAAACTTAATAAATCATGTGTTTTATTTTTGTTATATCCCAAACGAGTTGCAGAGCATGTTTTTGCCATGTCTGTCAGTCATTCCTCAGCACATTGGGTCATTATGAGTGGTGGGTGAGAGGTCAGTTTTGCGGGTGTGACCCACCAAATGTGGGTCACTTGGCAGTTCTGTTCCTGTGATTGTCAGCATAACTCCTCTAAAAGTGACACACAGAGTACATGTATTGTGAACCTTTCTCTACAGACTATGCCTAGGTTTTAAGTGAAAAGTCTGTGTAATTACAACTGAAAATTCAGAAAGAAGACAGGTTGCTTTATAGTCATTTATTTTTTTGTAATAAAATACATCACAAAAAAAGTAATTCTGAACTTTACCTCCATGCACTAAAAGATATGAGTGGACTTTAAAATTGGAGGTCCAATAGAATTCAATACATTTGACACTTAGTTCAAGTTAGTTAGGTATCTACTAATTGTATCAAAAATATGAAATATGTAAATTTAGTGATGCGCACTGTACCTTAAATATTTCCACTACTGTTACAGTATAATTTATTACAAAGGTACTTCATTCTAATGTTTTTCTAACAAAAACATTGACCAGAGCACCTGTTCCTGTATTGCTATACAAATCCACAACAAGGCACACGGAGATTAAAGTCAATATCAATTAACAAAAACAATAATTAATATAATACGTAAATATACAATATAATAAATATGTGTAGAGAAAATATCCACTAAGTTCAAATATCACAGCTAAAGAAGAGAATTACAGGTTTAGGACATTAGGATTATTGAACAACAACATCATTAACCAGGCCAGGCTACGAGCAGCACAGGAATCCAATCCTGGGGACGACATCAATTCAAAATGATACATGTATCTTGGATTAGACCGATAATTTGGAAAATTCCATGCATTACACTTGGGTAAAAAATATGACACTGTGTTCATCATGATGCTTAAGTCTTCCTTGTAATGCTGTTGTCTTGGGAAACTTTTCCTTGGGTATATGTTCCATTCTAAAAATTCTTAGTACAAATTTCTATATGATAAATGGTGATGATATGAGTATAATGAAGGATGAATTCCCGCCCCCCACTGTCATCAGCTGGATTTTTCGGAGTCGGCCTTCTCCATGCTTTCGTCCTCCTCCACGACGACGTCTTTTGTCACAATTTTCTCGTGTTCTTTAATGACTTCCGTCTCTGTAATTTTTTCCTCGATGACCCTCTCCCTATTTTCTCGTCGAGCTCTGGGAAGGTCCCGCGGAACGTGCTGCTGGCGATCTCCTGTAACTCCTCTAACTGTTTCTGTTGATTGTTGTCCACGCGATCCAGTCGCTGTCTCAGAAGGCGAAGGTCCTCCTGGTGTTTTCTCTCCTAAAATGTAATGTTTAAACCATTAACATTACGACATTCATTTCTTAGAAAATCAAGGTACTGTGAAATCACTTATTTTGTGTGTGATTAATATTCTTGTTTTACAGGCATTGAGAGACCCACGAATTGATGACATCACAAATTTCACATGCATTTCTACAAAATTTTCTTCAACTATGAAATCAAGTCCCTAAACAACTTTTTTTTCATCAAACCTGGAAATTAATGTGATTATACAGAATAACAAGGCACTGGTGAAACATTATACACTTATTTAATGACTACGAGGTAAACAGTCAAAATGTTGTCCCGAGGTAGTGGGGGAGACCTGGGAAACTGTTGCCTGAGGCCGAGGGCAACAGTTTCCCAGGTCTTCCCCGCTACCGAGAGACAATAGTTTGACTGTTTCACAGAGTAGTTATTAAATACTTAGTAAGTGTTTTATTACCTAACCTACTATATAATTAACTAAATTGGAATAAAAACACACAAACAATCAATAAAAAAGTTTTCACAACTGTTTATTCACATACTTGTCTATTAATTAGCTGAACACATAATATAAAGTTTCAATTAATATTTTTAATTTAAAGTAATACTTAATAAATTGATTGTTTGTGTGTTTTATTTATATTTGATTAATTATAGAGCAGGTAAATAGTGATGTCGTGATCATCAAATTGCTTGAATATCACGATGACGCTTTAAACAGTCAACAGTTCATTCTGTGGCCCGGTCAACAGTTCACTGTTTCATGATCACGCAAAAAACATAAAGTAAACCGTGAAACAGTTCAAAATGCCTAATTATAATTTATATAGTAGGTTAGGTAATAAAACTTACTGAACACTCAGATAACAAAAATTTGAAAACAGTTACTTTTACTCAGGGTCTAATAACAATTGAAAAGGAAATGTGTATTTGAGATTTTCAAAACAAAACGTAGGAACATACTAAGATACGACATTAAAAGCCCAAAAGAATACAACATAACAGACAAATACAGCTGAGAAAAGTTAGAACAGGATTAATCAATGATATTGTGTTCTAAACATCATAATTAATGATACTACTGTGTCCAAAGATGAATATGTATATCTACTGATTGATGGTTACAAGTAGTGTTGGCAACGAGTACCCGGTTAACCGGTTAACCGTCGAACGATGCGAGTATCGGTTAGTAAAACTGCTATTCGGTTACTCGGATAAAAATACATTTTTCATATTAAATACGTATAAAATAATTTTTATGTTATTTGTAAATGTATATTGACACATTTTCCTTATTTAATTACCGTTAGGCTTGCTCTAGTGGTTCACAAATAGGATCGATTTGTTTTGATTAGTTTAATTGATGGCTTTAATTGCCAGGGGTACGCGTTTTGAAAACCTGAGTTATAATTACCTGATTTAAACTGACCTGTGTTAGAGGTACATACTTTATCAAGATGCCGCCTCAAACATCGAGAGCGTGGAAATATTGTTAAACAACTCGAAATCTGTCAAATTCAAATCATGTGAATCAGAGTTGTCTTATAAGGATGCTATATTATTTAATTTAGATTGAAACAATTATTTCGATAACCAGCGACTTGCAGGAGACGCCAAACTCCCCGTTTCAAGTGACATTAAAAATCAAAATTCTTCGAAGATATTGTGTGGGTTTTTTAAAGTCTGTATTTGTAAATAAAGTTAATATATCTTATATTTGTTGTTTGTTTCTATCAATAAGTAAAAGGATGAAATTAATAATAAATACGAAAACTACAACATAAAATCATCCGAGTAACCGGGTACTCGATCGGAAGATTAAGCGAGTAACCGGTTAATAAAAATCGTCCGATTTGCCAACACTAGTTACAAGCAATTTACGAGTAATTTTATCTGTATGCTTTGTAATGATATATGTTCCTTTTATTGTTTCTATTGTTATACTTTGTGACAATTGATTAATCTTGGTTCTAAAGTTTATACACAGTATGCAGAAAATTCAAAGCTTTTCCAGATACACCAACAACACCTTCATGCAGAGAGTTGACATTTTTTTAAAATAAAAATTGACACAAGAACTTTAAAGAAATGATAAAACGGGAATAAGCCTTAATTTTCTGAGTAGAGCCGTAATTTATACATTATACTAGTACCTCTACCTATGATGTTGTCACATAAAACTAATGCTGAAAGAAGGGGAGATAATCATAAAAAGTATGTAAATAATGATACTACACTACAGCTAAGTCATTCTACAGATACATGTAACTAATTAAGAAATTTCCCTATAAACTGTAAGATTAAGTCTGGTACAGTTAACAACAAGTACAGTAATACAAGAAGTGTAAAGTAACATCCTCTGATCATGCTAGTGAGGAATTTTTTTACAAAACATTAAGATAAATTTTTACTTTATTCAGTAACCCTATACATGTATGTATTACCTGTTCTGTAAAACTGACGTTTCCTGGTAAAAATGTACAATCCACTGGTACGGTGACATTAGCGAAGGACATATCTCCAATGGTGACCGGGAACACGCTGGACAGCAGGACTTTACGGAACTCGTTATGTCGCCTGTGGAGGTCCTTCCATTGCTTCTTAAGTTTGCTGTAAATATCCTGAGGAACGCAGGCTCTGAAAGGTCAACATTGACATTAGTCTAGGTATACAGAAAATCTATTCCCGTACCAAACATTCTAACAAATGCTCATGAGCAGCTCATGAGACTCACATGAGAATCAAGTAAGAATTGTATGCAAATTAGGTAGAATTGGATTTTGCTCATGTGCAGATTGTTAGTCTTTGTTAGGGAGGAAAATACTAACCAAAATGCACATGTGCAAAATTATGCTCACCTCAATGCTCATGAGCAAAAGTCTATTCAATTTGCTCACCTAAGAACAGCCTAATTTAAGATATAGCATTGGTAGTGATTTTTCTAAGTTCAATTTTCTCACGTGAGCAAGAGGTGAGCAAGAGGTGAGGAAATTGGACATAGTCAAAATTCAGTATTACAAGTAGAACCAAAACCAAAGATTTAGAAGTCTCAATTCCTCACGTGAGGCTCACGTGAGGAAATACAATACTCTGACACTCTATGTGGTCCAAGCTTTTCCAAGACTTTATTACAAATTGACCATGTGTTAAGTGTTAACACTTCCTGCTGATAGCATCACAAATGATTGGGGACCAGGCAGGAATATCTTAATTTCTTGAGCTTCTAATCTTTATCTCCCATCAATTTGAAAATGCTTTCCTCTACTTAAACAACCTGTTGTGTCCCCCACTGTTACTTAAGGTGGGGCAGTATCCAATGAGGAGAGCCAGTTAGGATTTGTGCGCCTTCTAAGACCAGTTCAAAATTTCAATACAAAATGTGAGGGACATTGAAAGTATATGGATTAATACAGTGAAGGACTGAAATATGCTTTTGGAAATACATGTCATAACAATATTGAACTAGATGCCAACCTTTAAGAGTTACAAATGTATCCAGTATGTCCATGGGATGAGGAAATGATTAAAGATCAATTAGACATTACCATGCTGGTGCAGCCACAATGAAGGAAAATTTCAAAGATTTGCTGATCTGAGAATAGGGTAAGTGCTTTGAAATTTATTATCCCCCCTCTCATTTCAGATATTACTAATTTAAAAAAAATATGTATAAATGTTAATTATCAGCTAGTGTATTTAAGTTTGATACATTTAATGCAGAATATGTTATCAGGCATTTAACAGTTTAATTAAGAACTATAAATATGGTAAGAACAGATTATATTAGGTCAGAGTGTACAATTGACAGCCTCAGTGTGGTATTCCATGAATTACAAGTATTTAAGTTGCCAATTAAATATTGATGCATACCCGGTATGATTTTTCTATTGCATGACTGGCTTTTCATCATCATGACAAACGGATCGAACCTTGAAAATATACTAACTTATTATAACTTCAAATTTTTTGCAGATAAAAGTTGGAATCAAAGGATCTGCAGATTAATCAGGGACCCTAGCTGTCTGTGTGTGTAGTAGCTCAGAGCTTGCATACATGATGGAGTTCTGATGTTGGCACTCATTTAAAGGAAATGCAAGGAAAAAGAATGGAACAGGATGAATTGATTATGATTCTATGACCACTGGATTATTATTTTAAACCCAAGTATGACTGCCATTCATAAATTCAGCAAAGGCAAAAACATCTACTTAGCCTCCAAGACAACTTAAAACCATCTAGCACTAGTGCAGTCAAAAATGTTGACTGGACATTAACATTGGATGTTCTATCTTAATCTACTGGAAATGGAACTATTGGATAATAATTCTTTGATTGATGTGTACTGTACATAATTATAATAATTCAATTTAAATTTTAATTTCATTTTAAGTTTAAAAGATGAAGTTCACTGAACATAATTATGCATGCATCTATTTACATGTACATGTTGCTCAAGAGTATTTAAAATGTAATTGATGAATCACATTTTAGAATTACATAATTATATAATGTTTGTAATCTGAATTTTGTTATTGTTGCTTGTTCCAAGTGAGCAATTGTTGCACATGAGTCTCATGAGCCTCATGAGACTCATGTGAGCAATATTCTAGGTGAGCAAAATGATTCCTCACGTGAGCAAAAAATGCTAATGTGCAGAACCCTGCTCACGTGAGCATTTCACCTCATTTGCATGTTAAATTGCACATGAGACTCACGTGAGCAACTCAGGTGAGGAAATCTGGTTAGTCCTCACGTGAGCTGCTCATGAGCAAATTGTGAGAATAGTTTGGTATGGGTTACCTACAGCACTGGCTTTTGAATGAATGATTTGTTTATGATCAAGTTTAACATCTGTACAACATCTATTATTCTGACAAAGTCATATTTAGCTCTTAATAAGCCTTATACTCATTTTCTGTGAAAAAGGTTCATTCTCTATAAGGCCATTTTCCGGCCTACGATAAAATCACTTTAAAATGTGATTTTATATAACTTTAATCATTCTAGTTCATGATTTTGATGTTTGGTTTTCAACATCGATCATCTAAGTCACGTGATTTCGAGATAAAAAATGGCTGTCAGTTAAAGAAAAATTGAGGGTAGGTCTATTTAAATCAAGTTTCTATGCATGTTTCTGAATGTAAATGATCAAAAATTGTTTATTTATGTCGGAAATACATCAGACCTAAGTAATAAATTCGAAGATTTTTTAAATTTAAGGTTTAAGATATTTTTTTTTGACAAGAATTCTAATGCATCCATATTTTGCATATTTTGAACGTAAATCTTTACGAAATTCACACTGTAAGGTGCTGAAAAAAGTTTGATTTGAAATTTATTGAAGAGTATTACATCATATATTATTATATTGTAATTGTACATCATTTCTATAGATGTGGTACTTATTTTAAGCATAAAATAACCATGTTAGAAATGAGGTTTCTTATTTTCTATTGAACTCTAAAAGTTATGTATCAAATGTTAAAAGCACTGAATGGATTTGATTGTGATTAAATAAAACTGAAGTAGTAATTAAGAAAAGAAATTCAACAATTGCAAAAAAATTAAGAATTAACAGCATAAGAATATCAATGAAAGTACATGTTGACTATCCATATACATGTAAATAGTCAATACATACAACTCAGAGCGGTTGCATTAAAATATACATCTCTGAGTAAAATGAAATAGCGTTGTAAAATGGCTTTGCTTTTATTCAATTACTCGTGCTGCACGATATATTCAATCAAAAATCCTTCTTAACTTAATGTACTTACATGTATAAAAGTTGACCCCCCCCCCCCCCCCCCCCCCCGTGTCTAACGGCACAACATAAAATGGAGCAGAATTTTAACAGTTCCTTCAATTATGCATATCAGATTCTGAAGTTTTCGTATATACTAGTATACGGACTTAAGAGTTCTACAACATCCCAGGTACAAAATGGACCCTTAGGATTTAATGCTCCTTTCCCATCCTTGAAACCTCTAGGTTAAATTCAGTCTCTTTCCTAGTGCACTTGTTTAACACGGATAATGAGAGTTCCCTACCTAAGTCTTTAGCATTTAAAATAAATGTCATCGGTCGTTTGGATATTTTTTTTTACAAGAAAAGGTCCCGTCCTGCGTTGGGCGTTGGTTATTAATGCAACTATGCATAAACACTTAACCTTAAGTGGATGGTTTCTTTATCTGGTTGAAAAACCCTTTAATGGGGTAAAGAAACATTCATTTAATAATCACAATGACATGATACATTTAGGAATCCCCCTCCACTTTACCAATTTATTTTCTAAGACAGGACTAATGTTATCGTAACTTATGTCAATGAGTCCTCTCAATATTAAGACCCAGTTAACAAAATATGGATCAAATGATACCCTTATGGAAGTTTCCATATAAAAATGTTGTGTGTACCCATAGGAAAAAAAGTCAATAATACAAATAATAAATGCATGTAACAAAGATTGCTTTCATCATTTCTAGAACATAGATAGTACTCATAAGGAAATACAAAGAATATTTGCAGAACTCATAATGAAGTTCAAAGAAATAGCATATATAGATATACTAAACTATCATTATAAATATAAAAGATAACTCCTCTTCTCACCTTATATTCGATAAAAAGTTCTTATTTCTTAATTTTTATTAGACATTTCAGAGAAACGTCTCCACTTTTAATTTCATGACATCCAGTCTTCTCAGTCCTTTGATTTTTAGATTTTTAAATAAAAAGTTCACTTTTTTTTTAGTAAATATGCATGGCTGATATAAATCATAGTAAATCAACAGAAAACTGTAATATAACCAAAAATTTATAAAAAGAAATAATCTACATAAGCTGATATCCTTCATTGTGAGTAGTTAGCTTCTTCTACAAATATCGTAAAAATGAAGTGAAAAGTTTTTATTTAGATGTCATAACCACCTTTAACCAAATTCATAATTTGGCAGTCACTTTTTATGTTTATAACAAATTTACATGCAAATTTTGGTGTTGGTTAAAGGTGGTTATGACATGCGTATGAGTTATCTAACACAGCCACCCTCTTGATTTTTCCCATTACTCTAATGCTAATACCGACCGATAGTACCTTACTTTGTGACCCTATATCATTAAAAATACTATTGTTTCATTTACCAACCAATATTTATCATAAAACTGGAACATAAGACTAGTGATTCATGCAATTTTTAAGGGAAAAAATACTTTCTGAAAATTTGAAGTCATTGTAGGCCGCAAAACGGCCTTATAGAGAATGATCCTTTATTTGTGTATTTATCTGCATTGAATACTGGTCTGTGACCTAAAATATACATGTTTTACTTAAAAGTAGACTCACTGTAATGCCTTTTTCTCCAGTTCTATTTCTAAATTTTTGGCCTCTAAAATCTCTAATTTGTCTTTTAGTCGCTCCACCACATGTGTGCTTTTCTTCTTGTACTAAATAAAGAGAGAACATAAATCTAAATATTCAACAAGAAATAACATGTAACTGATGCAAATGAAAGCGATGCATATACAAAGACAATTTTAAGGTAAACAATTCTATATTTCTCACAAAGATTTACACAATTTTTAAAAGATTTTAACATGAGCCAAGAATGCAATAAATATTTTAATAACTGCAGATTAAAAAAATGACATTTGAATTTTAAATATCTGTACTGGAAATGTTTCCTAAATTTTTAAAAATTGTACGGGAATATTTTCCCTTTGCGATGTTACTTTTTCATCATGTAGAGTGAGCATGACTCCCTCCTTTTTGTAGGCCGTGAGTGCCCTCTGGTATTTGCCGTGGACTCACCTTTTTATACGTTGTGAGCACACTCTGGTATTTCCTGTGGACTCACCTTTTTGTAGGCTGTGAGTGCCCTCTGGTATTTGCCGTGGACTCACCTTTTTATAGGCTGTGAGCGCCCTCTGGTATTTCCCGTGGACTCACCTTTTTGTAGGCTGTGAGTGCCCTCTGGTATTTGCTGTGGACTCACCTTTTTATAGGCTGTGAGTGCCCTCTGGTATTTCCCGTGGACTCACCTTTTTATAGGCTGTGAGTGCCCTCTGGTATTTCCCGTGGACTCTCCTTTTTATAGGCTGTGATCGCCCTCTGGTATTTGCTGTGGACTCACCTTTTTATAAGCTGTGAGCGCCCTCTGGTATTTGCCGTGGAGTTCCTTTAGCTGCCCCTGTAGGTCCTGTAATCTGTGATCCACCTGAGCCTTCTCTTCCGTGAAAGCGCTCCTCTGCTGCATCAGTATGATGTCGTGATTGTCCTGTACCTTCTTCAGCTGACCCTTGGTCAACTTAATCTCCTCCCGGAGCAGTTCCACCTGATTTCTCAGCCGTAAATTGTCATCTGTCATATCCTGCTCATTTCCAAGGTAGGCGTTGATTTCAGTCTCCAGTTTGGAGATTTTACTTTTTAAGTCGGAGTTTTCACTGCGTTCCCGCTCTATTTGGTTCTGTAGAGAATTCTGATGGTCAACCTTACTCCTAAAAAAAATAATGTTAATAAATTATACAATACCTCATATCACTTGCATCTATTCATCGCATAAATCTCCTCTTTTCTGTGACTCACTTTACAGTTATATTTTTTTCCCTCCCTTTTATGACTTGTGTTAAGAAAAGGAATTCTTTCCCTTTCTTTGTTTAAGACAAGACCAGAAGTTCCCTCCCTTATATGATTTATGCTAAAACTAAAGTTCTCTTGCATGACTTATGTCAAGATCAGGAGTTCTCTCCCTTTATAACTTACTTTAAGACTAGAAGTTCCCTCTCTGCCGTTTCCTTTGCATCGTTTGCTGCTCGGATCCGCTCCTCCATTTTCTCTTTCTCCGCGTGTTTGTAGGCTTCCTGGTCAATCTTCCTCCTGTCTATTTCCTGCAGCTTTGTCTCTAATGCCAGTCTGTAAATGTCAAGAGAAACTTTTGTCACATACTGTACCATGTCAAAACAGTTTATAAACTTTTGTCATATACTGTACCATGTCAAACAGCTGATATACTTTTGTCACAAACTGTACATGTACATTGTAAAATGCAACTGATACTTTTCCTCAGCCAACTTAATAAATAAATTTACCCTGAAATACTCTTTACTATCATAAGAAATTGGATTGCATATTGTCCATCCATGTTCTCTATTCCACTTATCATAAAAGCAGTGGCCTTATATGTAAAGCTAATCAGTCAAAACTAATACCAGCTCAACCTACTTCTAATTCATTATGACCCGCTGTGTTCTGGTCAGTGTGTGACTTACTTCTCACTCTCCACACCAGTCAGTTTGTGACTTACTTCTCACTCTCCACACTGGTCAGTTTGTGACTTACTTCTCACTCTCCACACCAGTCAGTTTGTGACTTACTTCTCACTCTCCACACCAGTCAGTTTGTGACTTACTTCTCACTCTCCACACCAGTCAGTTTGTGACTTACTTCTCACTCTCCACACCAGTCAGTTTGTGACTTACTTCTCACTCTCCACACTGGTCAGTTTGTGACTTACTTCTCACTCTCCACACCAGTCAGTTTGTGACTTACTTCTCACTCTCCACACTGGTCAGTTTGTGACTTACTTCTCACTCTCCACACCAGTCAGTTTGTGACTTACTTCTCACTCTCCACACCAGTCAGTTTGTGACTTACTTCTCACTCTCCACACCAGTCAGTTTGTGACTTACTTCTCACTCTCCACACTGGTCAGTTTGTGACTTACTTCTCACTCTCCACACTGGTCAGTTTGTGACTTACTTCTCACTCTCCACACCAGTCAGTTTGTGACTTACTTCTCACTCTCCACACTGGTCAGTTTGTGACTTACTTCTCACTCTCCACACCAGTCAGTTTGTGACTTACTTCTCACTCTCCACACCAGTCAGTTTGTGACTTACTTCTCACTCTCCACACTGGTCAGTTTGTGACTTACTTCTCACTCTCCACACTGGTCAGTTTGTGACTTACTTCTCACTCTCCACACTGGTCAGTTTGTGACTTACTTCTCACTCTCCACACTGGTCAGTTTGTGACTTACTTCTCACTCTCCACACCGGTCAGTTTGTGACTTACTTCTCACTCTCCACACCGGTCAGTTTGTGACTTACTTCTCACTCTCCACACCAGTCAGTTTGTGACTTACTTCTCACTCTCCACACTGGTCAGTTTGTGACTTACTTCTCACTTTCCACACCAGTCAGTTTGTGACTTACTTCTCACTCTCCACACCAGTCATTTTGTGACTTACTTCTCACTCTCCACACTGGTCAGTTTGTGACTTACTTCTCACTCTCCACACCAGTCAGTTTGTGACTTACTTCTCACTCTCCACACCAGTCAGTTTGTGACTTACTTCTCACTCTCCACACCAGTCAGTTTGTGACTTACTTCTCACTCTCCACACCGGTCAGTTTGTGACTTACTTCTCACTCTCCACACCAGTCAGTTTGTGACTTACTTCTCACTCTCCACACCAGTCAGTTTGTGACTTACTTCTCACTCTCCACACCGGTCAGTTTGTGACTTACTTCTCACTCTCCACACCAGTCAGTTTGTGACTTACTTCTCACTCTCCACACCAGTCAGTTTGTGACTTACTTCTCACTCTCCACACTGGTCAGTTTGTGACTTACTTCTCACTCTCCACACCAGTCAGTTTGTGACTTACTTCTCACTCTCCACACCAGTCAGTTTGTGACTTACTTCTCACTCTCCACACCAGTCAGTTTGTGACTTACTTCTCACTCTCCACACCAGTCAGTTTGTGACTTACTTCTCACTCTCCACACTGGTCAGTTTGTGACTTACTTCTCACTCTCCACACCAGTCAGTTTGTGACTTACTTCTCACTCTCCACACCAGTCAGTTTGTGACTTACTTCTCACTCTCCACACCAGTCAGTTTGTGACTTACTTCTCACTCTCCACACCAGTCAGTTTGTGACTTACTTCTCACTCTCCACACCAGTCAGTTTGTGACTTACTTCTCACTCTCCACACCGGTCAGTTTGTGACTTACTTCTCACTCTCCACACCAGTCAGTTTGTGACTTACTTCTCACTCTCCACACTGGTCAGTTTGTGACTTACTTCTCACTCTCCACACCGGTCAGTTTAACAAACTCCTCCTCCCTGGCGGCCTGGACACGCCGGACAGCGTCCCTCTCTTTCTCCACCAGAGCCCGTGCCTGCTGGTCAATCGTGTGTTTGTTTATCTCCAACTTGGTCTGCAAATCTGAAGAAAAAAGATGTTTTTGTGTGAAACACTGATGCCCCCATAGGGCAGCTTATGGCAAGGGTTGAAGTTTCTAAATTGTAAGTAAAACTCCAAAGGTAAAGGTCAAAGTTGTTGGTGGCCATAGGAAGGTCCTGTCACAAGGAATACATCCAAGGAAAACATTCAAGGAATAGATTAAAAAGGTAAAGTGGGTAGGCAGCATAACATGGCTTAGTACAGTATTCTTCTCAACCAATGAAATTTCAAGATTATCATAGAAGGGTTAGGTATAACATGACCTCCCATTAAGTTATTTGGAGAGTTTATGTAGGTCCCGCAACTACAATTTTCAGCTTGTGTGAACTTTTAATAACTACAAATATAACCTACCATCCACTACATTCAGAAGTTTGTCTCTCTCCCTCTCTAACTCTCCCCTCTGTTTTAACATGTCCATTTTGAGGTTGGTGAGGTCGACTTTGTTTTTGTGGGTCAGTTCCTCCAGTTTATTTTTATAGACGGCGTTCTCCTTCTCCAGTTCGTGGATCTGCCCGGTCAGTTTGTTATGGGTGTCCCCGGTCAGAGCTAAATCTCGCTGTAACTGGTCCAGCTGTCGGCGAAGGGACTCTCGCTCAGTCTGAAAATTATACAACAAACATTTTATTTCTATACGACAATAAACATTATTATACTTCTCCGAACTCTAATGTAAAACATATAGATTGAATACTGGACAGTAGTGAAGTTAAATAAAAACTCGACAAATTAACAAACTTAACTAATCTCTAGAATGTAGAACCGGTTTTTTTTTTAGGAAGGGGGGGGGGGGGGGACAGGGTTCCTTAAACTATGCCATAAAATGAAGTTGTAGCAATGTGTTAGATATGTAAACTGATAAAACAACTTTATAAATGTGGTAATTATTTGGCGAAGCAGTTACATTTAAGGATACTTCTATTTTAAACTTTCAATATAATAACAAATATCACAAAACATGGGGAAAAGAATTCCTAAGCCAAAATCGCCAACATAAATTAACACAAGTACAGTGTAACTTCAGATATCCGGACGCCAGATATCTGGCTGCTTCAGTATTCGGATATTTTTATCACAAGAACAGAATTTTTTAATGTTATCTTGTTTTACTTCACTGGTAATTCAGGTATCCGGACACTTAATATATCCAGACAAATTGACTAGGAACCAAAGCGTCCGGATAAATGTGGCTCCACTGTACCAGAATCAGTGGAAGACATGTTAACCTCAAGGCCCTTGACAGAAGCAGACAGCTCCGTGATCTGTTTGGCTTGTACATGGGTAATGTTGTCTGTCTGTAAGTGGGTGATATTGTCTGTCTATGACTTACCTCCAGGCCTTTGACAGAAGCAGACAGCTCCGTGATCTGTTTGGCTTGTACACGGGTAATGTTGTCGGTCTCGAAGCCCTGTTTTTCTCTCTGAGCGTGTAGCTCCTCCAGTTCCAGCGTTAGCGTCTTCAGTTTCAGCAGTAACTGTGCGTTCTCCTTCTGTAGGATCCGGACACGCTCCGTGTCCTGACTGCTCTCCTCCCGCACCTTAGTGATGGTTGTCTCCCTTTCTTTACGTAGATTTGTAACCTGTTTGTAGAATTAATCATGAAAACCAAAGAAGTGAATGCCAATTATCATATCAATATATTGTTTTCACCTGAGTCTGTCATTATATGTGACATAAATTTAATGAATAAATGGAAAATGTATCTTATGATATGTAAATTTGGAATTAGTTTTACTGCATTTTTTTTCAGTTCTTGGCACATACAAAAAACATGAAAATAGTAAAAATAATTTAAATGTTTATATTTTCTCACTAAATATCATATAAATATGGAACTGAACATATTAAAGGATTGGCAAAATACGGTACATATACCATGTATACAAAGTACCATAATTACTATTCCCACATCCTAACATGCAGCCATACAATACTACCTTACTAATTTGTCGATATAATCCTTTAAGCTTTGTTGACGCGATCAGTTTGTACGTGATGTGGCTTACCTCTGCCTCGGCACTGAGTTTGTATTCCTCTATAATCCGCTGGTACTCGGCTTTCTGGGTCTCGTACTCGGACTGTGTGAAGGCCAGCGTGTGTTTTAACTGGTTACACAGCGTGCGGTATTCCTCCACCTCCTCCTCCTGTTTGTGATAACGCTCCTTGTAAATCTTCGATATTTCCTCCGTCACCTGGGTCCGTATTATTTCTAGACGTTGGGGAGTGATGACCTGAAAAATTTATTTCAGTTCAATCAATGGTTATAGTAACAAACCTAAGTTTATCATAACTTGGAACAATTGCTAATTCAAATTTAAAATGTTACAAAGATTTATTTTTAAATACATCTTTTGTATGTTACAATACAGGATTTCGATAATAAAATAAAAAGTCTTGCACAGTTTACACGGTTTGGAAAACTTTAAAGAAATTCTGGTAAGAAAGTGAGAATACTTCATCAATCAGAGAAGACCAATTTCTTGCACAGTTTATATTGTTTAGAAAACCTTAAGGGAAAGCTCTGGTAAGAAGGTAAGAATTCTTCATCAGTCAAAGAAGACCACATATATAATTCTCACATGCAAATAGTTGGTTTACAGTAAATGATGGTACTAATCAAAAAGTACACAATAAATAAATTAAATTCTACAGACAGGGTTTGACATTAAGGCACGTCCGACAGACTGAGTCTAGTAACAGATGGGTCCGGTCGGGTAAAATGTCTGTGTACTAGACCGACAGGTCGTGTAAGAAAAATAAAGGAACTTTATATATATTTTTAAACAAATTTATTATCAATGAAAGAAAGAAAATCAAAATGTTTCTAACCGCATAGTAGAAAGAAAACTACATAGGTAACAGACAGCATGACCGAAGTACTAAATATCATTGTAGGCATTCGCAACTACTCAGCCATTTTCTTAAAGAGAAACAATAAGCTAAGGAAATGGTTGAGAAGTTACGATTGTCATTGTCAGATTCACATTTAGGACATTGGTAAACTGTGTAAATGGCAATAAAACTATATAACACATTTTTTACGATACTTAAATTCTCTGAACAATATTTATGGTATGGCACTGTATTAATATTGTATACAAGTTGATTAATTTAAGTTAGGACTAAACATACTCCAGCATGCTAGAGGTTCACGGCGAGATACTTTTGACTTGGCGCCGCGTAACCTCTAGCATCCATTGTAAAAATTCTCGCCGCTGAAACCCCAAGTGGAAATAAATTATTTTTATTAAGAAATAAGGCTTTGTATATTAACGAATGGTACGAAATAATAAATTCTCAATATTTACGATAAAACTTACGCATAAAACACTGTTAACCTCTCGTATTAGCAATAAATCCATTATTTTTTAAATCGAAGCAGAAATTGAAACAAGTCGTCTGTTTAAAATTCGGAAATGGAATACAGAAAATCTGACGAAACGAAACTAGTGTAATGCAACGAAAATTTCGTTTTCTGACAAGCAATCCGCAAAATTGATGTGAAGTCAAATCGAAAGTACTTCTGGTGACAAATTGGAATAATGTCAATTTTCATTAATTAACAATAATGCACACTGAATAAAATGGATTTTATTATTTCTTGTGACTTTCATACCCCATGCAAACACGTAGGTACCTGAAAATTACTTGTTAACAGTTTATTTCACTCATAATACGTTCCGCCCAAAATATCAGGCGGAACGAGCTCATTAGAAAATGGCCTTCGGATGTAAGAGTCCGAGGTATATAAGGAGCGTAGGGACGTTAACCGAGGCTCTTACTTGTAGGAGTAGGACTAAACACAACAAGCCGCATGTATATGACCTAGTTTTGATGTTGGCATGTGCGGGAATGTTTTGTTTTTAAAAATTTAAAAATTAACTAGAACTGTCCAATAGGGACAAATACCCCCCGCTGGGTTTTTCAGAGAAGGTGCCAATTCAAAAATACTTAATGGATCTAGAGATGTTCACAATTTACTTAAAAAAATTTGCAGTGAAATATAATTGCTCATCATGTTTCTTAATGAATGAAATGGAGGTGCAACCAAATGAAACATCAATACTAATATATTGTAATTCCATTGTAACATTTTTTTTTTTTTTCATTTAATTTTTCTTCATTACTGCATTAAAAAATATATTGCAATTATGTGTTATGTCACTCTGCAAACTGATTGTTGAAAAAAAAAACCATTATACAAAATCGAATTAATCTTGATATATCAATTTTGAAATGCATTTTGAAAATAAAGAACTGGTCATCCAGTAATGAAGTGTTTTGACAGACAATAAATTACAATTAAGAGAATAAGAGAAGAGAGATCTTTAATTCTTGTGCCTTATTCCCTGAAGATTTGATAACACACACACACTTGATAAGAGATACCAGTATGCCTAAACAACTTCCAACACCAAACTCATTAATTTATCTTTAACTGGATGCATGTCCAGTCATTATTCCCAAGAGACAAATGAAATTACATTATCTTCTGTGCAATGTAAAAACCGTTTTTAACACTTGGTGTTTCTTTTTTTTTAAAAAGTTTTTATGAGTAGTTTTAAGCTGTAGTTCACGTTTTTGTAAAGATATTCTAGATTCTATGTCTCAAACCTTATACATGAGCCCAAAATGAACAAGTCAATTAAAATTTTAAAAAACCTGTAAAATGCAGAAAAATGAACAAAAAGAAATGAAAATTCCAGGTACACAACTTCATATGGTGAATAATAATTGTACAAATTTTCAAATTAATCCTTGCAATAGTTTCTGAGAAACAGTCCAAACAAAACCACAAAATAAAAATGAAAAAACACCTGTAAAATTCAAAATAATAATCCAATCAAGATGAAAAATATCAGGTGCACAACTTCATATGGTGAATAATATGTGTACAAATTTTCAGATAAATCCTTCCAATAGTTTCTGAGTAATGGTCCGGACAAAATCTTGTCTACAGACAGACGGACAGACGGACAGACAGACAGACGGACAGACAGACATGGTGATTCCAATATACCCCCCCTAAACTTCGTTTGCGGGGGGTATAAAAACCTATACAATCAAACAGATTATAAAAAGGGTTATTCATAAATCCTCACTATTTCCTGCTTTAAATATTTTTTTCTCAAGTTTGGTCAGGGCTAGTGGTTAAAGGGTCAGGGCTAGTAAAAATTTGCCAGAGTAGCCCGACTGGTCTAGTATTCCAAAAGCTTAATGTCAAACCCTGACAGAACTAATCTGTAGATCTTTTGACTTACGCTGCTTCGGACCTCCTCCATCTGCGCACTCTTCTCTCCGAGCTCGCGCCGCGTCTGTTCGTACATCGTCTTGTACTTCTCCTGTACAATCTTACTCTCCTCCACCGTCCTTTTAATCTCTTCCTCTAACTGGGCATATTCATCTTGCAACCTAAAATTCAGTCATTCTAGCATTCAAAACCTACTTAAAATTTTAATTTGAAAACATTTATCATATTAATTTCATAATTTGTATATTTAAATTATACAGGTTTTGACAATGGGACCTATATTTTTTTTAGGCATCTTTATCCTGAGAAAAAATCTGAGATTAACAACCTTTTGTGCTCCTCTTTTAGCTGCTCATAGTTGGTTCTGTGCATCTGGCTTCTCATTCGTTCATCAGCGAGCAGTTTTTGGAGCTCGGTCTCTGATGTCAGCTGAGGTAGCGACGAGGCCAGGTTTTGGACAACGGGAGGCAAGCCAGTGACATGACCAGTCCCCCCTAACATGCTTGTGCTGGCCATCTTCAGACTGTCAGTGTCCTGCATTAAATCCTACAGAAACAAAATTAATAAAAGAAAATGACTTTCAAATCCTAACGGTTGAATCTCAATATATAAATCAATCACATCATATATCTTCATGGAACCAAATGCTCCGAGAGCAAATCTGAAGAAAAAGGGGGAGGGTTGAAGTTTCATTGTGTATTTCCAATTTTGCTTTAAAAATTATGCAATTTTTTTTTACAGATAATCGTAAGTGCACATTCTATAGTTAATTCTTAAAAAACATTTTTTTTTTGGTGGTGGTGCTATCTGATCAACATGATGAATGATAATATATTTACTGAACACTGTCAGTGTCATGCTGTCATGCAAAGCAAGTTGAGACACATTTCCCGGCTTCACGCAATCCTTAAAATTCAGTCTGCATTTGCATGATGCAAAATACTCATACAGACTAGTGTAATACAAAGTTTAAAATATAAGGAATTATTCATAGACAAAAAAATAATTCACGTAAAGAATCACACAAACTATTTTACCTTCTTTCACATCTTTCTAAGTTTCTGTTCGAAATCACAACAAATACTAACGCATGCGCAATTGACCAAATACATTCTAATTTCTAAACCATTAACGGAATTTCTTCCGGGTTTTCCCAGTTTCTGTAAATGATTTCAATATTATTCTTACCTTGCTTTTAATGCCGTATATTTCATCCATTCTTCGTTTTTTATTTTCATTTAAATTAATAATATCTGGCCTTTTTCTTTTGATAATGTCCATCCTCTCAATCAACATGTTATTTTAATTAACCGACCAGTTATAATTTCTTTTTAAACATGTTAAACATGTTAATTAATATCTCCTGTGGCCAAAACATGTGTGGTCATGACTTAGTTGTTTTAATTAAGCTACTGGAACGAAATTCATGACATTCTTTTAATTAATCTTTTAATTATTTGTTTATAACTAAAACAGCAATATATAGTCGTTGCGAAAATAATTTTAATTAATGCGCCGCCGGTCGTACGTTTATTTTCCTTTTATTAAAAAAATGAATATTGAACCTACTATATAACAATGTAAGAAATTACAATTAAAAAAAAATGTTTTGCAAGTGTATTTACAATACCACTACAAGAATTGATACTAGAAGTTTAAAAGAACGATTGAATAACTCATTTAATCTAGATCTTCAGTTACACAGTTTTTGTCATCAAATAAATTATTCATAATTTCTACTGAAGACAGGGTGACACGATAGCCGGGCCTTCCTTTGAATTTTCCGTCATCTTCTTATCTTGAATCAATTGATTTTTTTCTGTCATGAAAACTTCTTAGAAATTCGATCAAGAACTTCTTTTACATATTTACTCAGCAAGCAATCTTCTCGCGTCTTTATCAGCCCAACTGGAAATTCCTTACTAGAAGGCCTAGCTGTGTGAAATCTTTATCTTATAATTCACCAAGCCAACATTTTGTGCATATTGCTCATTCCTATTATATCACAGTTTCTATCCAATACGTGATTATCTTTGTCTGTTTGTCTGTCATATTTGTCCGTTTGTCTGTCAGAATAAAAACAAACGCGCTCTAATAAAACAACATGCGGACTCCCTAAGATGTAACAGACCCTCCCTTCATCTTGAGTTATGGTTTGCTACATTACAAAGTTTATAACTTTGGGGGCGGGGATATCAGTGTGACATAACTTCTACAGATGAGGATTTTTGTGCTCGGTCGTCCGGGATGCGGCAAGTCAGACCTCGTCACCGCCATATTTGGACTGACGGGGCACGACAGTGGAACCCGGTGTGATAATGGCGTCAGTATCCATACGTGGAGTTTCTCTCCTAAAACAGGCAAGACATTTTGGAATTAAATAATTTTTGTTTTATCATATGGAATGTACCTATTGAATATCATTTTGTTTTATAAATATTGATATGGAATTTCTCTCCAGAAACATTTTGGAGTTTAATTATTTTTGTTTTATTCATATGGAATTTCTCCCTCAAAACAGACAAGGTATTTTGGAGTTTAATACTTTTTGTTTTATTCAAACGTGAAATTTTTCTTTCAAAACAGGCAAGACATTTTGAGTTTAATCATTCTTGTTTTATTTCAAGCTTTATTACAAATATATGTAAAAATAAAATATATGTTTTTAGATGCTTGTATATTGTTCTTTCCTTAAATTCTCCTCGGATCATTTGTCATCTGGTCAGCGGTATAAATATAAACTTGTGATGATGATGATTTTGCTACGAATTTGGACAATAATCATTGTCATCAACGTTATCATCTTCAACTTTCTGTATTTTTCAATCTGATTACAGACTGAGTATTTTTTCTACCGATGATTACGATTTTTGTCAATGACAGATACCAGGGTATTGTCGGGCGATGTTGAGGAAACAACGCCACCTGTCGAGATTTGGGAGTGGTCGGGAAGGAGGGTAATCATTTTTTTAGTGTCAAAAGGAAGCAATGATATCCCATAAATAATTCTATCTCTAAATTTTTTTTGAATGAAATAGGATCTTAACGAATAGTTATGAAGCTTAAAAGTCCATCAGAACAATACACATTGGGAGTAGATAAAGCACCTTAAATTACAATCGATAGCCTTGTACCCTCAACTTATTTGTCTCAGCTTTCCTCGTTTACGTTGTGTACTGTCTATTGTCGTAATCAGGTATGGTCTTGTAGATAACATTTCTTTACTCATAGTTTTTGATACTCCTCCTTGATTTTCTCAAAGTAAGTTTGATATTTTCAGATTTTTCGCGGAATTCAAAGTTTCTTTTTCACCAGAAGTTCCCTATTTCTTCTGTGTATCTCCACCGCGGAATCTGATTCAGAGGCAGCAGACGACTTTATACAAACATGGCTGGACATTCATTCCAAGGCAAGTCTGGTAATTAAGGAACAGGCATTATAATCAAAACTTTGTTCTGGGCTGTCCTTTTAATATTATTTCTTCAATTTTTAGCTATATGTCGAGGCAAGTCTTACAGAATATCTTATTTCCCTCCGTTTTCAGGTATCAAACCCGAACATCATTGTCGTCTGCTCACACAAGGAGGACCCAAACCTCCCGGACTCATGTATAAACAACACAAAGTCACAACTAAAGAGGCGCATCACGGAGATCAAAGAAAAACACTCAATATCAAACACAGATAGGTGATTTTAACATCCCCCACCCTGGAAAAAAATGAATGGTTGACATCTTTCATACATTTGTTGAGATTTCATATCATGTATTTTTCCTTACCTATCTACTAGTACTTGTTGTGTAAGATGTTTAATCTTGATGTGTCTTTTTTCGTCCATACCTAGAGTTTCCGTTCTGTACGCTTGCCTCACCAAACTGGAGACCTCGTTACTGACGTTAGAGCCAGCCACCCCATCAAACGTCACATTACATGTGGTGGACCTAATGATGAAAAGGGTTGTGTATTTAAAACTAAATTAATGAAAAACTTTAATTAGAAAATCACTTCTGCACGGATTAATTGCTTTAATAAGTACATGTACATGTACTGATAAGACTTGCGATGTTTCGTGAACACATCGTGAACTTTTTCCGTATTTTTCTTAATTATTTTATTTTTTAGGAAATCAGCAAGTTAAAAATGGAAATCTTCAAAAGAGTTGAATTTCAGTTACACAAGGATTCCATTTTATTAAAACAGTATAATGGTTCCGTAATCAAAAATATAAAAGAGATGAAATCATCGAGGAAAATTTTGATGAAAGAGGACGATTTTAGAGAAAATATTGGAATTTCCCTGGAAAACGAGGATTTCTTTGACGCTCTGGAATCGAAGGTAATAATGGCAGACTTAAGGTGAATTTTTACCTCAAAATCTGGAGAATTATGTCATTGATCTTAACTTGTGTAAACTTATACTCACAGAACATAATACTGCGAGTGTTTACCATAAACAAGGAGCCCGTTATCTGCTGTGACCCCCGGGCTTTAGCCCAGATACTGGTATTCACGCACGTGCTGGACCAGACTAAGCTCTATCAGATTGACCCCCGGAAGTTCTGGGGAACAGACGTTACTGACCGCCCAGACCCCGGGCTTCTGGTGAGGGCTTTAGAAGACGTAGCCAAGCAGGGCATTCTACGAGAGAACCTTTTCCCTGTACTCTGGCAAGTACGTTTAAAAAAGGTTTGATCATTTTTTTTTTTCAAATTAAAGTTAAACTGATGTAAACAATCGTATATGTATCGAGATGATGCACTTAACTGTACTGAGACAGCACGGGTAGCTGTACAGAGATAGTGCACAATTATATAGCAATACCGAAATGGTACATGTAGATGTACCGAGATGATGTACATTGTACATGTACATAGCTTACCGAGATGGTACAGGTTACCATGCTGAAGTGATTTTCGTAAGCCGTACTGAGAAGTTGTAGCTAGGGCCTATACCCATCAGTACATATAGCCATACCGAGAAGTTAATGTAGCTTTACAGAGATTGTACATTTAGCCATGCTGAAATGGTATACGTAGCCAAGATTTTATAATGTGAAGTTTGTTTTTTGTTCAGAATATAACTGACAATGAAGATGAGATCAGACGCTGGATAGAGCTCCTGGGACAAATCGGAGTCATCTCTCGATGCAACGCTCTCAGGACAAAAGATTCCAAACTAGTCCTTAACACCTTCCCCAAGCTACAAAGCGACAGGGCGTACTATGTCATGCAGGCGGATCTTATCCCGAACAAAAGTCCGGTAGGTATACATATACCACACCACACTGGAATACACATCTTACTTCAATAGATTTAATATCTATAGGATTTCTAGATTACGAGTAAAGTCAGACGAACACTTCCATCACAGATCTATAAATATTTTATCTGCAGACGATAAGCTGGACGCCATCACCTGTTACAGACGACATAGAAGTCAGTGTCCTGCTGACCTCTCCCTGTGACTTTCCCTCGGGGTTTAAACATTTACTGATTGGCGGTTGTAGAAATATTGACGAGGACGAGGCTCTGTACTCATGGATTTGGAGTGATGGGGTCTTGATGCAGTTTCCCAAGGTTAGCATTCATTTCAAAACAGAAATTATTACTAAGTTTTCATGATTTTGGAACGGAATGTTTGCGAAAGAAACCAATCAAATAAAATGTTTCTCTGAAAATTGATTAATGGTTGCTAATAAATCACTTTACTTAATTGGAACCGGAAATCTAGTGTCAAGATCCAGCTGTACCTAAATAGAAATTTAATTAATTTATTCTATATATAAAAATATATGTACATATACGACTTCAATTTTATTTTATTATTAAATTATATTTCGTAGAATTACATCTTCACGTGTTAATAATTTATACCAGCAGGTCACGACCTGTCTCCGCTTCACGGAAAACAAATTGTACGTCAGCGGAAGAACAAACGTACTGGAGCACCAGTCCAGACCTGAAGCTCTCAGCGCCATCTGGTGCGTGTTATCCTATCCACTAACGGCGGTAGAAAATATAAGACGCAACTGGGGGAATCTGGAATTGGACGTATGAAAAAATGTCTATTTTTTTCTCTCCAAATTAATAGACTATTTGTTATATGAAAAAATTTAATTATAATTTTAAGGACACAAATCAAAATCAATCAAATTTATAATTATAACAAAAAATCAACCTTAAAATAATTTCAGAGGTTTTTTTAAACTACACGTATGTACATTATTTAATTTTAAATCGGAAATCAGTAAGCAAAATTCAGCATACTCGTAAATTGGACTAAATCAACTAAATCAACATTTTGGCCTTCGGCAAACACACATGTATTCAATTTGAAAATATCGATATCACCCCTTCAAATGCCTGAGAACTGATAAAGTGCAACATTTTGAAATTAAAACACGCGATACAATTGTTTCAGAGAAGTATCAGAGTGACAGATAGCTCCAGTACCAGCCCGCCCCCCGGGACCGAACCACGGGGTCAGGGTGTGTATTTACCCATCCATGACGTCTTCATTAGCCCTTCTGAAAACAGACAGCTGTATTTTCCTGTGAAAGGTAGGTTACATGTTATATAAAACCCGTGAAATAAGTTGAATTAATTTAAAATTGTGAGCTAGGAAACTTAATTTCCTTCTGCATGCTGCAAGAATAATTTCGTAACGTTTTATATGTATTAGTATGTATATATTTACATGTTTCTGCTTTTGTCTTAAGGCCTGTTTGATTTTCATTTGTCATATAGTACATTTCAATTTAAGTTTTTCATGAACATGCTATTTTAGTTAGGCTTTGTTAATCAAATTACCCATTCCTGTGAATTACATTCAGCTAACAGGCACGTAGCATCGTTTTTGAAACTGGGGGGCCAACCTGAGAAATTTTTTTTTACTTACCTAAAAAAAAGTTGACAAGCAAAAAAAAAAAAGTAAATTAAAAATTGCCCAAACTCCAAAATCCTATTTCGTGGAGGGGGTGGGGGGGGGGGGTGGCTAACTTTTTTCAGGGCCAACTTCCTTTAACTTCCAATTTTTTCCTATATTTCCTTGCCATGAATATACTGTGGTAAAAAGTGGGGGGGCCAACCGTCTTTTCAATGGACATTTTCTATACTAAAGGTAATGTTGGCGAAAAAAGTGGGGAGGCCAGGCCCCCTGCCCCTCCTCCCCCTGACTAATGCATAAAAAAGACCCCCCCCCCCCATTAAATTCGATCCATCCAGTTAGCTCGGTTTTTAGAACAAAATGATATTCTTTTTTATTTACAATCTACATGATCTAAGTAATATTAGGCGTCATATTGTTCAATGTTGATTACATAAGGACTCTGTAAACAAGTAATATAATATAAAGAACGCCATTAAATATGTATAATGCTGAAAGTGATCTATACAATGTCTGTTTATAACGATGACAGACTGCGTAAGCAACACGCCAGCGGCAGGAGCAGAGTTAGGACCGTATTTGACCCTCACACTTTGTGGTCCAATGGAAGCCGAGATCATTGCGCCGCGTATTGATTTCTAAATCTGAAACAGAAACAATCCATTGTCCATCTCATGCTGAGTTTCTATATACACTGTACACACTTTCTGGGAAATTCTCTGATATCTAATTTCTGAGTTAAGTAAGACCAATATTTTTATTTTATGTAATTAAATATCAGATATATACCGGTAAATATATCTAGATACATGTATATGTATTACAAACTCATTTAATTGTTTTATGCTAAATGAATTATTATTTTGGTGAGATCCTGAATTTTTGTTTGAATTTTTCTTTAGACCTTCCCTCCAACTGCGATTATTTGGGATTTCTACAACATCTGACCACTCGGTACAAAGAGGTTAAATCTGGAACTGTCCTAGAATCCAGTAAAATTCAAAACGGGAAAACTGTGCTGAAATCGGACTGGAAAAGAAAATGCCGTACAAAGGTTTTCTGTATATTTATTTGTATACTGTATATTGTAAAATATGTACATGATGTAAGCTTCGGATGTTTCCCACAACAATAGACTTATAATTTTAGTTCATTTTAACAAGTTAGGCTACATTTTAACCATGTTTTGATTTGTTTTTTAAATGCTTTATCTAGTTTGTTTTTCTCTTACTATTTAGTATTTTTACTTTGTTCTTGTTGTTATTCTTGTATTAATCTTATAGAATTTCTTTTTTATACTACCACTCTGAAGAAGAGGTGGGCTGTATAAGGTACTTTTACCTTTGTGTGTTAGTTTTTTATTTCTTACTAAATTCCCATCGCATTTTTCGCAAATTTTATTGGGCTACCGCAGAGGGAAGTCATCCACCAACCTTTTACAATTGACATTCTTATGCGTTTGATTTTGTTTTTTTACAAGTTAGGATTGTTTGGTACTTATTTATCCATTGTTTGAATCTGAGGTTCTTTTCAATGATTATGGTCTGTCCAACAAAACCAAATATGGCAATAGATACCTTGGGATATTCAGGCTATCTAATAAATTTCACAATCTTATACCATTTTAAATTCTATGCGGAAAATAAAATCATACTTTAAATGATTACATGTACATGTATATCCTAAATGTTACAGTTGGGGGCGAAACGTTTGTTTTGTGGAATACCACATTTTTCACACTGACCATTATTTTTAATTAAACTAACAAATGGCAGATGATGTACAGGGAAATAGGTCTACACATCAAAGTAAAGCTTCATTAGACAAATAATTATATAGAGACAGACCCAGACTCTAAAAACGATCCTTTTACTGGAGAACAGGAGAGCAGAATAGTGAATAACAACATCCAACACCCGATATATACAGTCTCAAAATAATGGCTGCTAGGAATTAATGAAATCATAAGAACTTCGATATGTTTAGGTATGTATAAAGGAAACAGAATACCCTCTGACTTCCCTAAAATGTGAGTAATATAAAAGGGTAGTTCTATAATTTCAGGGGAGGCGAATTACGTGGATTTTGAGGGCACCAGCACAGAGTAAGAAAATGTCGTCTGCGGAGAATATTTCGGGGATGAGAAAGAATCCCAACAACCAGCGGCGGACATCACAGGTTACATTTAAGGAGCAGAATGATACGTCGGCGTTTATGGAACTCGTGAACGGATTTGTGGAGGAGATTCTGAGGAAAGGGATGGCTAAATACAGGGAAGACATGTCAACTCAAAACGAGGCCAGAGGAAAGGAGGTCAAGGTCAGGATATTTTCTGTTTTAATCAGAACAAAACGAGAGAATGTATATTAAAAATACTGTTATTAAATTTTAGAATTTCATATAACTTTCAACTCAAATAAAGGGTTTTAGAGATGGAGGAATGGGGTGGAGGTTTGAGTTTATATTTTTAGTCACGATGACAACATTCGTCCTTCTAGTACCACTGTACACCGAATTCATAAACTGTTAAATAGACAACTTTTGTGAAGATGAAGGTCTTTAGTTGAAGTTAGGTTAAGGTGAAATATCTCTAAGAGATTTCCATTTCATGGGGTTCAGACTAAATTTTCACTTGGTAAGTACTATACATTATAAGAATGTCTTACAGAGGTATTTTTTCATCTGGACGATAATAGTCTACAGGTGTACATGGGAGGAATGATCCTGTCAATAGGTACCGGAATAAAAAATAATTATCATGTATAATCACTATGTCAACCATATGTACCAAAAGATTGTATGTACTAGTAAATAATTGGTGCACTGACAAAAACTGATATTGGTTTCCCAAAGAATGTTGAACAACAAACAATCAACCGGAAAATACTATAAGAAAATCCATTTAAGCATTATATTTACTATTTTGTGGTTGAGAATTTATTTAAGATTCGATGCTTGAAATTTATTTTTTAGTGGTCGATTACAGCAGTGACGTCAATCCACGCCACGAACATGGAGACTTCCGGTGTAAATAGTCACGTGGGAAAGAAGAGAAATTCCTCCGCCGACAAGAGTTGTGTGCCTTCAAGTAAATTCTGTGGAATTTTATAAATAACACAATGTGTGTTTATTCATTCAGTGCCTATACCTGACAAAAGTATCAAAATATGCTAAAAACTAGGAAATATTTACATCTTCCTTTCGCGATCAAGAACTTTCGCCATGGATTTGTTTATCTTCTTAAAGGTTTTGGCAATGAAAAGGATAAGTTAATAGTTGGATATTGTTTATGACTGTTGAAAGCTTTTTTGGAAAACTTGTATAAATTTTTCTTGGTTCTAAATCTACTTTTTAGAATAGATAATTTCTTGTAGAATGTGGTAATGTGGTCCTAAAATGAATGTATTCATCCGCTGTCTGCAGACAGAGAGATGATTTAATCAAATATTAAAATATGATTAAAACATGCAGAAATTCATTGTTAAGAGGCTATAGATAAGAAATTAAACCAAAATAAATTTAATATTAAAGTATAGAAGTAGAAAAGATTATACATTGCAGAATGATGGAGTACGTCTATTCTAGTTCAATCGTTAAACTAATGTGCGCGGTCCGTGACATGCGCAGTGTGATGTTTGTGACGACACACAGTGACGGGTACTTCAGAATGGTGTACTACGTAATCACTAACGCTGCCCAGAAGAGTTCTACGCACTGTTCCCAGACCTCGGCTACCGATGATTATATTGTTGGCCTGTGCTTCATTAGCGAGACGTATAATGACTTCGCCAGGTTTTCCAAATGATGTTTTCACACATCCTTGTATCTAAATATTAAATAAATAGAGACAGAAAATGACAGAGAAAAATCCATAATACTTAAATAGAAAAAAAACCTGGCTATTCAGAAAAGTGCGTCCTCTATTTTGTCTTCCTTTTTAAATTAACGATGAGAATTAAATATTCAATAATTCCTTATAATTTGATTTTGCTATTAATACCAATTCATATTATTTAATCATTGAATCATACATCATGTTTATGAAGAAACAATCATCTGTTTTGACAATATGATGATAAAGTACCCCCCAGAGTATAATATATTCACCGAGTCTGAAGGGCGAGTCAAATATTGTGCATTTAACGCATCTCGACTAAAACCAGCTCCTTAACTCTTTAATGATATTTTACGTATTATACATTCTATATACAAGATTAGTACATTATATTTGATACGTGTATATACCTACCCCGTTTGACTTTAATTTCTTTTCCAATTCTATCCGTAACTTCTTCTGTGATTCTTCCTCCTGTGACATGATGTTACAGACCGACTCTATGTCTGCTGTGCCCATCGCTGTAGAAAAAATATATATTAATAACTCGGTTATAACGAAGTCACTGGGACCTATGAAATTACTATATCCGTAATTTGTTATATTCGTATAAGGAATTCATTAAATTTATATAGATGGGGATCCAAGATAACTTCGCTATATCCGTGAATTCGCAATATCCGTGTTCGTACTAAACGAGTATTCTGTAGAATCTCTTTAAGCAGTGAACCAAAGGTCCTAGAGTGCTAGTTGTTAATACATGTCCCCGTGGAAAGCATGATTCCTCCTTTAAGCAGTGAAGAAGAGGTCCTAGAGATTTTTATTTATTAAAACATGTATACATGATTACCCCCGTGGAAAGCCTGGTGCCTCTCTAAGCAGTGAACCAGTACGACATTATCACTAGTCCGTCTGAACTGCTCCAGGTACCCTGTAAGTATGAATGAAATAAAAATGTAATGGTCGCCAGACAAAATTCTTTTTTGTTTGAAGCTTGAATTATAATTATGGAAAGTGCATTCCCAAGCATTTGAATTTCAAAGTGACAAAGTTTAGGGTTTTTTTAGCTCTACTGGTCAGAGACCAGAAGAGCTTATGCGATTGTAATATGTCCATCCGTCTGTCTAGCTGTAGACTAGACTAAGATACATAATTCTTTGTATAGGTTTTTAATTTCGATGAACGGTGTTGCAGTGATTACTAAAAACAGAAATTTCTGTGAAATACTTTTAAAATTTAATGCTACTCCTCCTACACTTTTGGTCGGATTTAATATAACTTGACACACAAGTAAACTACACTAAGATACATAATTCTATGTATGGGTTATTGATTTCGATGAACGGTCTTGCCTTGGTTACTAAAAAAAGAAATTTCTGTGAAATGCATTTAAAATGCTACTCCTCTGACAGTTTTGGTCTGATTTTCAATATAACTTGGCACACAAATAGACAACACTAAGATACATAATTCTGTTTATCGGTTTTTGATTTCAATGAACGGTGTTTCCATGGTTACTAAAAATAGAAATTTCTGTGAAATACTTTCAAAATGCTATTCCTCCTACAGTTTTGGTCTGATTTCAGTATAACTTGGCACACAAGTAGACTACACTAAGATACATAATTCTGTTTATTTGTTTCTGATTTCCCTGAACAGTGTTGCTGTGGTTACTAAAAATAGAAATTTCTGTGAAATTCTTTCAAAATGCTACCACAATTACAGTTTTAGTCTGAATATACTATAATTCATCATGCAAGTAAACTACTTTGAGATACATAATTATCAGTTTTTTTGTTCTTGATTTTGCTGATTGATGTTGCTAACCCTTGGTAACTAAAATTGAAAATTCTGTGAAATTTTATGAAGAGCCACTCCACATTTGAAGTCTTATTTCAATCTTGTAAAAAGAGACTTCATCAAGTATCATTATTCTATTTATTGCTTTTTTAAATGTTTTTAAAAGTCCCAACTGCTACTTTTCTTTTATTTTAATTACAAACCAGTAGACCTACAGTCTCAACAGAGACTTCTGTTTTTTTTTCTGGAGGATTTCAAAATGAAGAGGAAGAATGCATTTAAGGGATATTTCAAGGATTGGAAGAGAACTTCCTGTAAAAAGTCACATTTAAAATTCAATGTTTATTTATGATTATTAACTATTTTGTACCTCATATATGACTAATTTTTAAAAAAATTTTCATTAAAAAAAAAAAAAAAAAAAACTTTATTATTTGGATATTTTTAATTAACCTAAAAGAAATTGGCTAAAACAGTTGCATTCGGATCATGATCTACAGGGACCAAATAATATAAGAGGAATTCCAAATGGATACGATTTATTTGTTTAATTTTCTCATCCAAGACTCGCTTCCTTCGATTACTAGATTAAAACAGACGAAAACGAATAAATAGAAAAATACTCAGTAAAGTTTTTGACAAAATATTTATGGAGTTCGAATGGCGGGTGAACTCTTGGGTGCAATGTATAGATTGATCAATTTTCAGAGCTACGTTAAGAAAAAGAAAACAATACTTGTGTATAGAATAAAAACCGGGTGATAATATACATACACTGAAATGCAATATCGGAATGGCTGCTTCCGTCCACGGCTATCACCACGTTACGGGCTGGACCATTCTTAGACTCCATACTGGATTACACAGTTTTCTCAGGGTTTTGGGGTGGTTTTTTTTTTTTTTTTTTTTTGAGCGACGAGGTCACCCCTGGTCACTTACAACACGACCCAGGATCTTTATCTGGTCACTGTGTTTACACGTGATAAAACAATGACCCACAATCAGTTACGTCTGTAGACAATATATATATATAATAAATAATTGCTTTAATTGTACAAAAACATTAAAGATGACATGTTATTGGGGAAATTAGGAAAGAAAGTCAATTGACCCACTCTCTTCAACTTCCCACCCATTTGTTACATTATTTTGAAATTTTAGATCTAAAGTTTAAACTTATCTGTAACTATAGATAAGTTTAAAGTTAAGAATTAAACTTTTAACGTAGCACAAGGAGATGGGTGAGCATGACGAGAGATAAGGCCATAGTGCAACAAACATGAAGGTGAAAAATTAAATCTCAATTCTATCAAAATTTTCCTTAATATTTCATTTAACATTAAAGTATACTTTATGTAAAATCTCTACAACTTGCACAATCTCATGAAAATTGAAGTTATTTGCCAATGAAATATTATACACACACGAAAGAGGACAAAACAAGTCATTTTTTCACACTATAACACTATTTTTCGTTATGAGTGGGTCTTCTCTCCATTTTTTTGAAAGGTAATCCTCAAAGTTTGCATAAAAACATACATATTTTGGTTTCCAAAATTATGGAGCAATGACCCACTATACCTAAAAAGTATATGTTTATGACATAACTTTCGTATCTTTTCGAGAAATACTTGAAGTCCCTTAAGTCAATGGTCATACATGATTTAAATGCCACACTACATCAGGACTTATGTAGCGTAGTGGTTAGCGTGCTAGTCTCAATAGAGAATGCAACTCAGGATTTTTATTGCCAGGGTTCGAACCCAATGGATACCACTTTATTTTTCTTAATAAAAGAATAAATTTTAACGAAAAATTTTCCTCGAAACTTTTTGTTTATCATGATTTTACAAAAATCAATGATTAGAACTTTACTCTAAATACTAAAATCACAATTTGAATATGATTTTTATATACCTGAAGCTTGTGGGTTTTTTGCACGCTAAGTTCACCCATCTCCTTTAGGCGCCTTACCTTGCTGACAGAATATGACTGACTCCTAAAATGGGACAAAGATAACACGAGTGATCAATGAAAGAATACACAAACCATACAATTTGTGAACGGAGCACAAAAAATGGATCCCAAGAAATTTTACAGGAAGGATCAGGAGCTAAGACGGAGAAAGCATCCCCTTTTGACCGGAGATATCCGCCATAAACTCTCTGTGCTAATCACGTTGGCGGAACATTTCATAGACAAACTTAGTATAAATTAAGATAATTAACAGTTGGTATGAAACATATTTGCCAAAATTCCATCCAGTTAGTTATATTTGTCATCAATGTCATTATAACGGTCATAGAGTTTACGAAATGCTGACTGTAAAAAATTGGTTGAAATCCCTGTAATATCAACCTACTTTTCATTAGCCTGTCTTGGATTGAAATTTGGTCGTATTCAGAGCATACTTAAGTCGGAAGATGCTAATACCATCTACAAGGTGATAAATAGTGGATTCCTACTACGTAAAATATAAAGAAAGTTGATGACGGAAAAACTATCGGCATCTCGTTTGTCCTTCAGTTTAGTTGTAAGTTTACCTTTGTCGTGTATATGAAAGTGGGGTGGCTAATTGAAAGTGAGGTGGCTAATTGAAAGTGAGGTGGCTAATTGAAAGTGAGGTGGCTAATTTAAAGTGGGGTGGTTCAAACCTAGTATATATTTACAATATTTTAAGTGAAGTTTTTCTATTTTTTGTAAATCCCCATATTTCACATCCATATAACAATATTGAAAGTGGGGTGGCTAATTGAAAGTGAGGGAGAGGGGCTAAAAAGGTTAACCTCAATTTTCAATGCCTATATTATGTCTATCTTTGCAAAATAGGGGGCTAACTCCCTTCTAGCCCTAGCCCCCTGGTTCCGACGCCTATGACCTTTTTGACAATACCGGGGTATACTGCACCCACCAAGAGTGGGGTGGGGGGTGATTCTATGATAATTTTCTATTGTACAAAATAACCCCCCCCCAATGCTTCATGTCTGATTTCCTGTACTCGCAATGTGTTACCCAAAGATATGAGAATAATTATCATACATATGTATCTACAGTAATTTGTTTTTGACGATTACTTTTAAATATTGTTCCAATAGTTTTTGTAGTACATACCGGGTAATTTATACTAGTAGGTAAGAAAAGATGTCGACTTTAAACTCGTGTTACAATATGACCCTACCCTTTATTTATTTTTTACAGTGCTAGTGTTCTTATATTTGTATTGTTTTTCCACATGTATACATTGTTTTGGGTCTCACAACATGGATGTATACAGATTTACCGATACAGCGCGCCTCTTTTTTATGTATTTAAATCGCCGTTTGACCGACTTATTTGGAAGTTTGTTGAGCGTTAAATCGATATTGTCTAATTAGATATTAACAGGGATGCATTGTATTTCAAAAAACACGTTTATAAAAATTCAATCAGGCATGTATAAACTTAAAGATTAAAGCTTGTTTTGAGCTGAATTTGGTAGTAATAGTAGCATACCGCATTTAATGAAAATGGGACAACGTCATAGTAAATTGGCTCCGAAAACTTTAGCCGAGCTGAGAGATCAGACGAACTTCACTGTGGAGGAACTTAATGAGTGGTATAAAGAATTCAGAAGTAGCTGGCCGAAAGGAGCCCTGACAGTGGACGAGTTTAAGAAGGCCTACTCCACTTTCTTCCCGCTAGGGGACGCCTCGGAGTTCGCCAAACACGTGTTCCGGGTTTTTGATCAGAATGATGATGGTTTGCTGGACTTCCGGGAATTCGTCTGCGGGTTTAGTGTCGTCCTGAGAGGAAGTGTTGACGACAAACTGTCCTTCAGTTTCCAAATCTACGACATTAACGGCAACGGATTTATCACCAGAGACGAAATGAAGGAGGTGCTTTCTGTACGTATAAAGATTTAGCTAAAATTTGAACTTCGTTGCATCTTGGTCTTTGCAGCATATTTGAAATTTTACCGCGAGATAGTAGATCATGCATGCAGTTGTATCGTGGGCCTTTTATTACGCTTTAAAGTTTTTTTTTTGTACTTTAGTTCATAAATTATAAATTTTCACGACATTAACTTTATAATTAACAATGTAAACATCTAAATCCTTCAAGAAAGAATAGGGGCACGCGAATAAGCCGAAAATATCAATGCTGAAAATACGTCAATGAATAAAAGAGAGCAAACCATTCAATTAGAAATACTTAGAAATCAACGAAATACTTCATTTATTATTGAAACAATATGCTACAGTTTCAGTAGCCTTGAAAGTATTTACTAATAGAATAGCATGTGCCCAATGAAATTTCTCTGTAATTTAGGCGATATACAAGATGGAGAGCGCGCTGTCACCTGACGTGTGTGTAGTATTATAATAGTAAATCTACCTTTCTCTGTAATTTAGGCGCGCTGTCATCTGACGTGTATCTAGTTTTATAATAGTAAATCTACCTTTCTCTGTAATTTAGGCGCGCTGTCAGCTGACCTGTATGTAGTATTATAATAGTAAATCTACCTTTCTCTTGAATTTAGGCGCGCTGTCACCTGACGTGTTTCTAGTATTATAATTGTTAATCTACCTTTCTCTGTAATTTAGGCGCGCTGTAACCTGACGAATTTCTAGTATTATAATTGTAAATCTACCTTTCTCTGTAATTTAGGCGCGCTGTAACCTGACTTATTTCTAGTATTATAATTGCAAATGTACCTTTCTCTGTAATTCAGGCGCACTGTCAGCTGAGGTGTATGTAGTATTATAATAGTAAATCTACCTTTCTCTGTAATTTACGCGCACTGTCAGCTGACGTGTATGTAGTATTATAATAGTAAATCTACCTTTCTCTGTAATTTAGGCGCACTGTCAGCTGACGTGTATGTAGTATTATAATAGTAAATCTACCTTTCTCTGTAATTTAGGCGTACTGTCAGCTGACGTGTATGTAGTATTATAATAGTAAATCTACCTTTCTCTGTAATTTAGGCGCGCTGTCACCTGACGTGTATGTAGCATTATAATAGTAAATCTACCTTTCTCTGTAATTTAGGCGCGCTGTCACCTGACGTGTTTCTAGTATTATGATAGTAAATCTGCCTTTCTCTGTTTGATGCGCGCTGTCACCTGACGTGTATCTAGTATTATAATAATAAATCTACCTTTCTCTGTAATTTAGGCGCACTGTCAGCTGATGTGTATGTAGTATTATAATAGTAAATCTACCTTTCTCTGTAATTTAGGCGCACTGTCAGCTGACGTGTATGTAGTATTATAATAGTAAATCTACCTTTCTCTGTAATTTAAGCGCGCTGTAACCTGACGTGTATGTAGTATTATAATAGTAAATCTGCCTTTCTCTGTAATTTAGGAGCGCTGTCACCTGACGTGTTTCTAGTTTTATTGTAGTAAATCTACCTTTCTCTGTAATTTAGGCGAGCTAGCTATCAGCTAACGTGTATCTAGTATTATAATAGTAAATCTGCCTTTCTCTGTAATTTAGGCGCGCTGTCACCTGACGTGTTTCTAGTTTTATTATAGTAAATCTACCTTTCTCTGCAATTTAGGCGAGCTAGCTGTCAGCTAACGTGTATCTAGTATTATAATAGTAAATCTGCCTTTCTCTGTAATTTAGGCGCGCTGTCACCTGACGTGTTTCTAGTTTTATTATAATAAATCTACCTTTCTCTGTAATTTAGGCGAGTTAGCTGTCAGCTAACGTGTATCTAGTATTATAATAGTAAATCTACCTTTCTGTGTTATTTAGGCGCGCTGTCACCTAACGTATTTCTAGTATTGTAATCGTAAATCTACCTTTCTCTGTAATTTAGGAGCGCTGTCACCTGACGTGTTTCTAGTTTTATTATAGTAAATCTACCTTTCTCTGTAATTTAGGCGAGCTAGCTGTCAGCTAACGTGTATCTAGTATTATAATAGTAAATCTACTTTTCTTTTTTATTTAGGCGCGCTGTCACCTAACGTATTTCTAGTATTATAATCGTAAATCTACCTTTCTCTGTAATTTAGGCGCGCTGTAACCTGACGTATTTCTAGTATTATAATTGTAAATCTACCTTTCTCTGTGATTTAGGCGCGCTGTAACCTGACGTATTTCTAGTATTATAATTGTAAATCTACCTTTCTCTGTAATTTAGGCGTGCTGTCACCTGACGTGTATCTAGTATTATAATAGTAAATCTACCTTTCTCTGTAATTTAGGCGCACTGTCAGCTGACGTGTATCTAAAATTATAATAGTAAGTCTACCTTTCTCTGTAATTCAGGCGTGCTGTAACCTGACGTATTTCTAGTATTATGATTGTAAATCTACCTTTCTCTGTAATTTAGGCGCGCTGTCATCTGACGTGTATCTAGTTTTATAATAGTAAATCTACCTTTCTCTGTAATTTAGGCGCGCTGTCATCTGACCTGTATCTAGTATTATAATAGTAAATCTACCTTTCTCTTGAATTTAGGCGCGCTGTCACCTGACGTGTTTCTAGTATTATGATTGTTAATCTACCTTTCTTCGTAATTTAGGCGCGCTGTAATTTAGGCGCGCTGTAACCTGACGAATTTCTAGTATTATAATTGTAAATCTACCTTTCTCTGTAATTCAGGCGCACTGTCAGCTGAGGTGTGTGTAGTATTATAATAGTAAATCTACATTTCTCTGTAATTTACGCGCACTGTCAGCTAACGTGTATGTAGTATTATAATAGTAAATCTACCTTTCTCTGTAATTTAGGCGCACTGTCAGCTGACGTGTATGTAGTATTATAATAGTAAATCTACCTTTCTCTGTAATTTAGGCGTACTGTCAGCTGACGTGTATGTAGTATTATAATAGTAAATCTACCTTTCTCTGTAATTTAGGCGCGCTGTCAGCTGACGTGTATGTAGCATTATAATAGTAAATCTACCTTTCTCTGTAATTTAGGCGCGCTGTCACCTGACGTGTTTCTAGCATTATAATAGTAAATCTGCCTTTCTGTGTAATTCAGGCGCGCTGTCAGCTGACGTGTATGTAGTATTATAATAGTAAATCTACCTTTCTCTGTAATTTAGGCGCGCTGTCAGCTGACGTGTTTCTAGTATTATAATAGTAAATCTGCCTTTCTCTGTAATTTAGGCGATGTACAAGGTGGAATGCGCGCTGTCAGCTGACCCCACGAGAGACGACCCGGAAGAGAGAACCGACGCCATCTTTAATCAGATGGACATTAATTGTGATGACAACTTGTCCCTGGAAGAATTCGTACAGGGGATCAAAAAGGACCCCCACATCCTTAAAATACTGGAAATCCAGTGACACGAGATGAAAACGGCTAATTGTTTGCTTTGTGAACTTTAATGCCAATTAATAAACTGATTTAGGACACTAAAGAGTGTAAAGAGCTCGTGTTCAATGTATTGAAATGTCTCGATATATACATATTTATGTGTAACTGGCTGGTTGTACATGCATCAATCAATTATTTATTCCATTGCATTTAAAACTGTTTTCGAATAATACTAATCAATACATGTACATTTAAATATCTACACATCTTTTAGTTAATTGATACGTCAGTGTTTAATATATATTCTTTGTATTTTTTGATTTTTTACTCTTATTAAACTGAAGAAAAAGAAAAATTCAAATGACTGCTGTTTTACCAACAATTAAAATTCAATAAATATCCACTGTTTAATACCTCAATGTTTTACACTGTTTTTATATAGAACTCCACTTAATTGTACTTCATCACGCTAACGCACAAACCACCGTGACGTCACTGCACTTAACTTTGGGGTATCATAAAATATCAAATGAGTCATATCCACGGGATAAACATGGGATAAATAATTAATAAATATCATAAAATTTATTGAATATATATATATATATATATATATTCCTTTAAAACTTCAAAGACTAGGGGAAGTAGAAAACAGAAATGTTAAACACTGTGTAATTGTCCCTTTTTATCTCAAGCCATTATTGACTACATTTTCACTTTTTCTTTGTACATTGTTCTAATTTCATATAAAACACACAAATTGTAAGCAAAGTCAACTTGATACAGTCATGTACATTTCACATAGATCGACGGTTATTGCTTTATTTTGACATTGATACAAATATCTTTAAGTTACTAGTTACATGATAGAGCTTCAAAATTGACTTACTTCAAGTCCCATTAATATACATTACAATACTAAATAAACAATATTTTAGCTTTGAAATAGACTCACTTCAAGAATATTAATGAAACACGCCGCCACCTCTACACAAGGTAAAGCTATAATTAGTAACTAGCATCACATGGTTTGTAATCTGTTTTTTTTTCACTTCCGGTCCCCTAGAATCTCGTGCACGTGACTCGGGTGGCGACACACGACGACGGGTACGTGGGCATGGTGGACAAGATAATCACTGACAGTTCCGATCAGGGTCCGCCGGACCTTGCCCATCCCACGACAGCCGCAGATGATGACGTCAGCATTCTCTCGCTCCGCAGTGGACACCACGAATTCACCTGGTTTACCTACCCCTGTTTTAACTGAGCCGGTTAACTGAAAAAAGAATTTTAAAAATCAGTTAATAATTCTAATCTTTATTGTGAAAATAAGGCGTCGTAAAAATTGTGACATTCAATTTCAACATACACCATTATATGATCAGACTCTGTATTTCTTTGTTGTGATATAATTCTTGTTGAATATCACTGTGCGTCTTTTAAAATGATCACTACTATCTACTACAGTGCTAGAACAACATTTTCAGTTTTGTTGTGTGATAATGGATGTAGGTATCAATGTAATCATTATCTTTTGATCCTAGTGTACCTTATTCTGTGAATATGTATTAAAATTTACACACAGTATAATTAAGTTATAATGTATACTGTATTCTGTGTATACCTTATTCTGTGTGTACCTTATTTTGTGTATACCTTATTCTGTGTGTACCTTATTCTGTGTGTACCTTATTCTGTGTATACCTTTTTATGTGTATACCTTATTCTGTGTATACAATTAAATTCTTAATTAAAAACTTGGATTGTAACTGTGTGTATCCTATATTCAGAACACATTTATATACCTTTTAAAATTCTGTGTGTACATTAAAGCATTGTGAAGTTCTGTACAGTACATCAGGAGATTCTGTGTGTACCTTATTAGACAAAAGCACTGTGTACCATATATCTGTGTGTCACAGCTTTTTTCTGTGTTTATCTCCATATTGGAAAAGGACTGTGTGTACCTTTTACTGTGTACCATTATTCTGTGTGTACCGGATTTTGTAAACCTTATTCTGTGTACCCAATATTCTGTGTACCACTTTCAGGCTGTGTGTTCCTACATACTTTACATGTGTATAGCTTATTCTGTGTATACCTTATTCTGTATATGTCTTTTAAAATGACCTTATCTACTACAGTGTACAACATTTTCAGTTTTGTTGTGTATGGATGTATAGGTATCAATGTACATTATCTTTTATTCTGTGTACCTTATTCTGTGTGTACACTTAGTATAACTTATAATGTATACTGTATTCTGTGTATAGCTTGTTCTGTGTGTACCTTTTTCTGTGTGTACCTTATTCTGTGTGTATACTGTATACCTTATTCTGTGTGTACCTTATTCTGTGTACCTTATTCTGTGTATACCTTATTCTGTGTTTACCTTATTTTGTGTATACCTTATTCTGTGTGTACCTTATTCTGTGTGTACCTTATTCTGTGTATACCTTATTCTGTGTACCTTATTCTGTGTATACCTTATTCTGTGTATACCTTATTCTGTGTACCTATATACTGTGTGTATAGCTTGTTCTGTGTATACCTTATTCTGTGTTTACCTTATTTTGTTTGTACCTTATTCTGTTTGTAACTTTTTTTGCGTACCTTATTCTGTGTATCTTATTCTGTGTTTACCTTATTCTGTGTACCTTATTCTGTGTGTACCTTATTCTGTGTATACCTTATTCTGTGTATACCTTATTCTGTATGTACCTTATTCTGTGTATACATTATTCTGTGTGTACCTTATTCTTTGTACCATATTCTTTGTATAGCTTGTTCTGTGTATACCTTTTTCTGTGTGTACCTTATTCTGTGTATACCTTATTCTGTGTGTACCTTATTCTGTGTACCTTATTCTGTGTATACCTTATTCTGTGTTTACCTTATTTTGTGTATACCTTATTCTGTGTTTACCTTATTTTGTGTATACCTTATTCTGTGTGTACCTTATTCTGGGTATACCTTAACTGTGTGTACATTAATTATTCTGTGTATACCTTATTCTGTGTACCTTATTCTGTGTGTACCTTATTCTCGTGTGTACCTTATTCTGTGTACCTATATATATTTGTGTGTACCTTATTCTTTGTACCTTATTCTTTGTACTAAATAGCTTGTTCTGTGTATAATTCTGCGTGTCTTAATTTGTGTGTAATTCTGTGTGTATATTATGCGTACCTTATTTGTGTATCTTATTCTGTGTTTACCTTATTCTGTGTACCTTATTCTGTGTGTACCTTATTCTGTGTATACCTTATTCTGTGTATACCTTATTCTGTGTGTACCTTATTCTGTGTATAGCTTATTCTGTGTTTATCCTGCAACTACCCCTTGCATTGACCTAATAAAGGTAACCTAATAAACCAACTACTGCCCTATAAAGTCTCGTGCATGTATTCAGACGTTCTAAAAGCATTGTGACGTCATGTATATTGCAATGTTTACGCCATGGCGTCACAAATTTTGCAGAGTTGTGCATAATTTGTCGGAAATAGCTAGTTTTACGTTCAAATGTAAATGTGCAGGATAAACATACAGTGACTGTCTAAGAAATACAAGCGATATTTTCTACACGCGGATTCAACAGAAATTGAGATTCCGCCCTATATCACGTTTTCTTACCCTCGCCCAAATATCGCTTATAAAGACAGTAACCACAGTATTTAATATATACCTTATTCTGTGTGTACCTTATTCTGTGTGAACCTTAATCTGTATGTACCTTATTCTATGTATATATACTTTATTCTATATGTACCCTAATCTGTATGTACCTTATTCTGTGTATACCTTATTCTGTGTATACTTTATTCTGTGTGTACCCTAATCTGTATGTACCTTATTCTGTGTGTACCTTAATCTGTGTATACCTTATTCTGTGTACCTTATTCTGTGTATACCTTATTCTGTGTATACCTTATTCTGTGTGTACTGTATTATTCTGTGTACCTTATTCTGTGTATACCTTATTCTGTGTGTACCCTAATATGTATGTACCTTATTCTGTGTATACCTTAGTCTATGTGTACCTGTCTGTGTATACATGTAGTCAAACCTGTTTTAAGAGTCCACTCATGGGAGAATGACAAATTGGCCACATAAGACAGATGGCCTCTTATTCCAGGTTTCAAACCAATGAATAAAAAATTGCCACCTAAGTTGTATATTTATTTTCATATATATACAAATCCACAATTTCAACACATTTAAAAAAATTGGAAGTTTTAAGTCACATGCAATCCCTTTTCTTACATTTCATTTTACATGAATTTCTGAAGGAAATATGTTACTGGTTTTTTTTTGTTTTGTGTTTGTAATTTTAACAGCCTTAGAATTAACATCACACTAAATCATGAAATGTTCAAATGAATTAGCATTTCTCTGATGCTGTGTAAACCGCTTTGTAGTTTTTCTAGATAACATAATATGCTATAGTGCAAGACTGACTGCTTGACTTGATAACCTCAGACAAAATTGTAATTAATGTATTGAGTTAAATATCATGAACATATATTAAAATATGCAACAACTTACTTTCATATATATAAAAAAACACCCAAAACATTTGTTTACAATAAATCATTCACTTATATTAATTAAATCATTTAATCCTGACAGAATTCAAATTACAACCCCAATTATTGGTAATTACTCATTATCAGCTGTTCATGTTTGGCTTCTCTGAGGATACGAGGTCACGTGCCAGACGGAAGTCATGTGACCAAACAGACAAAATAGCCACTGAAAACAGGCATGTTGAGCGCACGGGGCCTAAAAACACTGGCAACTGGCCGCGTTAGACAGGTGGCCACTTAAATGAGTTAAAATACAGTGAAAAAATGAACGGGCAGGATCGAAACTGGCCGCACATGGAGAGTGGCAGGTTGATTAAGGGTGGCCGTAACCTTATTCTGTGTATACCTTATTCTGTATGTACCTTATTCTGCGTATATCTTATTTTGTGTACCTTATTCTGTGTATACCTTATTCTGGGTGTACCCTAATCTGTATGTACCTTATTCTTTGTATAGCTTATTCTGTGTATACCTTATTCTGTGTTAGTACCTTATTCTGTGTACCTTATTGTGTGTACCTTATTGTTTGTATACATTATTCTGTGTGTACCTTATTCTGTGTATCTTATTCTGTGTATACCTTATTCTGTGTGTACCTTATTCTGTGTACCTTACTCTGCGTACCTTATTCTGTGTATTTTATTCTGTGTTTACCTTATTCTGTGAATACCTTATTCTGTGTGTACCTTATTCTTTGTACCTTATTCTGTGTATGGCTTATTCTGTGTATACCTTATTCTGTGTATACCTTATTCTGTGTACCTTATTCTGTGTATAGCTTATTCTGTATGTACCTTATTTATTTTGTGTGTACCTTAATCTGTGTGTACCTTATTCTGTGTGCCTGATTTCTGAAAAATGAATAAACCTATTTATGTTTAAAAAATTCTGTGTATACCTTATTCTGTGTTTACCTTACTTCTGTGTACACTTACTCTGTGTACCTTATTCTGTGTTTACCTTATTCTGTGAATACCGTATTCTTTGTACCTTATTCTGTGTATACCTTGTTTGTGTGTACCTAATTCTGTGTACCTTATTCTGTGTATAGCTTATTCTGTGTGTACCTTATTTTGTTTATACCTTATTCTTTGTATACTTAATTCTGCATGTATCCTAATCTGTATGTACCTTATTCTGTGTATAGCTTATTCTGTTTGTACCTTATTTATTCTGTGTGTAATCTGTGTGCACCTTATTCTGTGTGTATTCTGTGTACCTTATTCTGTGTATAGCTTATTCTGTGTGTACCTAAATCTGTGTATACCTGTTATTTTGTGTACCTTATTGTGTGTAAAGCTTATTCTGTGTATACCTTATTCTGTATACCTTATTCTGTGTGAACCCTTGTTTGTGTATACCTATCTGTGTGTACCTTATTCTGTGTATACCTTATTCTGCGTATACCTTATTTTGTGTACCTTATTCTGTGTACCTTATTCTGTGTGTAATTTATTCTGTGTGTACCTTATTTTGTGTGCCTTATTCTGTGTACCTTATTCTGTGTGTACCTTATTCTGTGTACCTTATTCTGTGTGTACCTTATTCTAACTGTACCTTAATCTGTGTACCTTATTCTGTGTGTACCTTATTCTGTGTACCTTATTCTATGTGTACTTTATTCTGTGTACCTTATTCTATGTGTACCTTATTCTGTGTGTACCTTATTCTGTGTACCTTATGCTGTGTGTACCTTATTCTGTGTACCTAATTCTGTGTACCTTATTCTGTGTACCTTATTCTGTATGTACCTTAATCTGTGTATCTTATTCTGAGTACTTTATCCTGTGTGTACCTTATCCTGTGTGTACCTTATTCTGTGTACCTTATTCTGTATGTACCTTATTCTGTGTATCTTATTCTGTATATACCTTATTCTGTGTATCTTATTCTGTGTACTTTATCCTGTGTGTACCTTATCCTGTGTGTACCTTATTCTGTGTGTACCTTATTCTGTGTGTACCTTATTCTGTGTACCTTATTCTGTGTGTACCTTATTCTGTGTACTTTATTCTGTGTGTACCTTATCTGTGTGTACCTAATTCTGTGTACCTTATCCTGTGTGTACCTTATTCTGTGTGTACCTTATTCTGTGTAAACCTTATTCTGTATGTACCTTATTCTGTGTATACATTATTCTGTGTGTACCGTATTCTGTGTGTACCGTATTCTGTGTACCTTATTCTGTGTACCTTATTCTTTGTACCTTATTTTGTGTACCTTATTCTGTGTATACCTTATTCTGTGTGTACCTTATCTGTGTGTATCTTATCCTGTGTGTACCTTATTCTGTGTATACCTTATTCTGTGTGTACCTTATTCTGTGTACCTTATTCTGTGTGTACTTTATTCTGTGTACCTAATTCTGTGTGTACCTTATTCTGTGTACCTTATTCTGTGTGTACCTTATTCTGTGTACCTTATTCTGTGTATACCTTATTGTGCGTGTGTACCTTATTCTTTGTACCTTATTCTTTGTACCATATTCTTTGTATAGCTTGTTCTGTGTATACCTTATTCTGTGTGTACCTTATTCTGTGTATACCTTATTCTGTGTGTACCTAATTCTGTGTACCTTATTCTGTGTATACCTTATTGTGTGAGTGTACCTTATTCTTTGTACCTTATTCTTTGTACCATATTCTTTGTATAGCTTGTTCTGTGTATACCTTATTCTGTGTGTACATTATTCTGTGTGTACCTTATTCTGTGTACCTTATTGTGTGTGTGTACCTTATTGTGCGTGTGTACCTTATTCTTTGTACCTTATTCTTTGTACCATATTCTTTGTATAGCTTGTTCTGTGTATACCTTATTCTGTGTATACCTTATTCTGTGTACCTTATTCTGTGTACCTTATTCTGTGTGTACCTAATTCTGTGTGTACCTTATTCCGTGTTTACCTTATTCTGTGTATACCTTATTCTGTGTATGTACGTTACCTTATTGTGCGTGTACCTTATTATGTGTGTGTGCCAGTTTTTTCTTAAGAATAATCTCCTCTATATTTTTTTCACTATGTACCTTATTTTTTGTAACCTTTATTCTCAGTGTACCTTATTCTCCGTTAGTTTTTGTTCTAGCTGTTTCTGTAGACTTTTCTCTTCTTTCTCCTCTCTATCCAGTATATCACAAACCGTTTTCACATCAGACATACCCAAAGCTGGAATCCAAGTTTTCAGAGATAATCAAATTTGATTAATTGTAAATTTCATTTAAGTGGACAATTTTTAAACATTAAATATAAGTTGGTAGTGCTAATTGAATACTCTGTCCTTC